CGTAATGCTGACATTCCCAAGTCGTTGTGTGTCCTAGTTTACAATTGCCTGGCCGTGCTGGATTCTTGATGTACTTACTTCGTAGGAAGTAAGTACAGTTGCAAAAAAACTTGTAGAAGGTCACTGATTCTTACTGATTGATGCCCTTGGAATCCGTGTGCATTACTAAGGCATGATTCGACGCCAGCTTGCACCAAAATTCCATGTAAAGTACTTCGTATTCCGAGGCATGTTTGTCGCCGGCAATACTTCGTACCATTGAATATGGTCTCGAGTACGAAGTACACCAACCTGAGAAGTCGTATTTACCCCAATGACCGTGTCTCTCATGGCACGTCTTAGAGCGAAGTATTTTTCAGGAGTTCGCTCCGCAATGTCGCGTTGGAGAGCGATCGAGCGGAGAGGGGACATTTTGGTCCCTGAAGGAGATCCTAGTCTTATAACGCGACGTATTACATATATCTGCCGAACAAGTGTGGATGGGATAGGCTTCCAGTGGGCTTCTCGAAGCCCTGAAAAAGTGGGCGCCAACGGGATCGATGGAGCATAGCATCACTCAAGTACTTCCCTTCCCTCATCAGACGCATGATGAGAGTTGCGATGTACTTTGCCATCAATGTCGTGGGGAGCTATACCTGAATTACATTGGAGGGATAAATAGCGGGCAATAATCCAAAAGAGATACTTGGCAATTGGGGATATCTTGTACTTAGTTGTGTACATCACTCTCACACAAAATCAAGGGTGGGGGGCGTGAAATGGCCTGGGTGGCGGGTAGAATATATTCGATACAACACGCCCCTTCCTTGTGCATTGCTAACAATTTCAAGTCAAGGATCAATGTCATGTCTACATTTTGCTTCGGATAGTTGGAATGAAATTCCAAGAAGCGCAACCCTCTGATAGGTTCGGCCTATCGGGGTCTTTGAACTAGTCTGAACCTATCGAAGACAAAGTGTCTAATGTCAACGTCATCTCAATCAACCCTTCTTCGATCGCAATGGTGTGAATCGACGTCGGGGACCTTCGGTTGGGTGGCGCCTCGCAGTGGTCCATCCAGCACCGCCCGCAGCACTTGGGCTTCAAGGACCAAGCAGGATTGATTACTTGGTGTTCTGGCAATGGGTGATCCATCCTAGCCGATCGAAGATCCATGCAAGCCTCCCTTCAAGGCACCACCACCTTCTTTAGTGCGTGCCCAGGCGGTGCAGCTCTTCCATGCATCGGCGACCTGTGTGCACCTGCATCAACTTCACTGGTGAAGCTCGTTTCAAGAGACAGCTTGTACATCAATTCACTCTGGCAAGAGAAATATTGTAGTTTATATTCCTACTGTGCTCAAAGGGGCGCCGGGTTTGCATAGAGATCATATTGAATTACGAGGGATGTGCATATTTCTCGAACGATATATCCGGTAGCGCATGACTGCGAAGACTTGCCATTCTTATTCTTCTTACGCAATCCTCAATCCTGATTTTTTTCTCCAACTGGTGGTTGCTCACGGGAGGGTACAAAGTAAGGGTACGAGACAGTACATAACCCAGATGTACGAAGTATACACTAGACGAAGTAAGCTGGGATTGGACACGGAGGCTGCCCAATTGGTGTGAGTCCGCATGCAGCTGCCACATGGCAAGTCTCTTGCCTGGTCATTGCACGCACCTGGTCCTGGTCCTGGTCCTGGTCATCAGTAAATTGGCTTATTATTGTTGAGGTTGAGGGTTGCAACTTGAGCCACAGGTATCTCACGAGTTTAAAGAGATTGATGCAAAAGGCGGGGCCTCTGAGGCAGCAAAGCGTGCTCGTTATCGATATGATTTAAACTAATTCCTTATTCTTCTTCAGGATTAGAATCCGCGACACGAGACTGGGCACCTGACGGACAAGACTTTTCCAATCGCGAAACAAAGAAGGCTGGAGCTGCATTGTCTTCTCGGGCCTGACGTACGGAGCAAAACGCCATCCTGCAGAGTATCACCGAGTCGCGAGGCCTGGCGCACGCTCTTTTGCTTCAACTTGGTTTTTTTTCCCCTTGTTACCCGTCTTGTCTTTCTTGTCAAGGGCAGGATGACACACCTAGCGCGATGCCGCTTTTCTCCGGCCTACTAGAGCTCCATTGTCGCTGGGGTGGGCAGCAGTAGCTCAATAGACTCAAACACCGGACCGTAGCTTCGAGATGACGAAATGGCTCAACTTATCATCATCGAGAGTACAGTTTTATCCGCGTCTGCTAGGGTACCTTACGGCATCATCTTTCGGTGTGCCGCATCCTATCGATTTGCAATTGCCGACCAAAGTCTGCCAACAGACTCGCCTAACTATTTTCAAGGAGTAAGATAACGCAAGCCCGAGCTCTAGAATTCCGGGACCTGTGTCATTAAGGTTTGTTTCTCCCTTTTGCATCCACGAAATAGTTGCTGTCCATCGACGGACCATCCAGCGCGCAGACTCTGCCTTGTCGAGTGTCCCTTATCAGAGGTGTCTCTGAAGCCGGTTATCGCGCTTGAGCCAGAGCAACACATCGTTTTCCTTTTACGATCTAGCCATTGGCTTGGATAATGCCACGCGCCCGACGGACGTGGGATCGGTGCTTGAACTGACGCCTACTTCGTTGTATCAGAAGGTCGCGAGAATTGATGGTCTGCTCCAGATTGATGTGACCTCGTACTATTCTCCAAAGACGAGAGTACCCTGCTGTCAGAGGAATGGTTCAGGAGGCTCAGCCTCTGCCCTTTTATTTCACTCTCCCAGTCGGCCTGTCGGTCACTCTCTCGCTGTACCCCTGTACTGCACGGAAAGCCTCCCGTCGCACCCAGCTCAGGGAGTATACTTTGCACTTCGTAGTGTACTTCGTACGAAGTTATTAGAGGAGTCAAGACAACTGGTTCAGCGAAGTACTTTTTTTTGTATGGAGGTACCTTTGTTCTTAGCACACGAAATATTCATCGATTAATATCTTGGCAGCGAGGTACACAAGGGGAAATTTTTGTACTGGTGTCCGAGAGCACTCACGTACTTCGTACCCTACAAGTCGGGCAATACTTCGTAGCGGGAAAGTACGTCACCACACCTTGACCTCGGACCATTGCCCTCATCCAACCTTTCCGTTGTTCCGGGTCTTCACAGATGAAGGAAAAGCCAATTCCCCTACGTTTCGACCCAGATTTCTCTTTCCACAGGCAGTCGAAATCTCTAGCATAGTGCTATCACAGGGACAATCCAAGCCTGAATGTTAACTCCCTCTACGAAGTAAAGGGAAGGAGAACTGTACCAGTAATTACGTACCAACCTAACATTGATAAATGATACATCAAGATTTGATGTGGAAGAAAACCAACCCCTCCAGACCTTCCTCTTGTACCCGACACGAAAGCATCGTCTTTGCCAGGCCAATCCCATGCTGAGTGACCTTTGTCAGCACATCCGGCCTGCTCCCCAGCGCGGGCCAGGCCACGTTGACAATGGTTAAAAGTTGCAAGTGTTCCGAACCCTAACTTCAGATCCTCGGGACTGAAGAGTCTCAGTGTGTAACCGCACCCTGATTTTGTTCGAGGGGAAGGAACGTAGGACGATGAGGATCAAAATACCTTGATTTGGGGAAAAATAACAGTACAAACCACAAGCTGTGAATCACGATTGCTCCATAACCTTGAGTGTCAGAGCACTCTCTCTCTCTGTCGTTTTGTAGGAATTGAGGCACCCTGCTACCCATACGTCAGGGCTGCCGTCCACTGTATGTGACTATAACCAGCTCTATTAGTACAAAGGAGTGGTGCATCCCACCCTACTCCAAAAGTACGGGACATGGAGTTACAAGTATACTTAATAAGATTAGGGCAATGGCTAGTGGGGGCTTTGGAGCGAAATGAGGAAGTAACCTGAGAGGGCGAAAAAAAAAAATTCGAGAGGCAAAAACAGAAGGAGCCGCCGGTTTCGTCCCCCACCACACCACGGACGCGGGTGCGTGGACGCTACTAAAACCGAAGTGGCGTGGTACCTGCCCCGAATGTGTCAAGAAGTCACTTCCTCCAATTGTTCCCTCCTCGGTATTACTGTTTCTCCAACAAAACCCATCCACCCCCCAGTAGTTCGCCAGAGCGACCAAACTTCCCTACCTCTCTCCGATCTCAGTCTCCACTCACCCACCAGTCCTGTTCCAGCTTTTTGACGGGCTCCAGAATTTCATCTCTCCGGCTCGGTGAACTTCACCTGTCGCATAGGAAAAGAGGATTCTCAAGAACGTGTCGTGCGAGAAAGATATTCAGTCTTGTGGACAACGAGTCGACTCGAGAAAAAGAAGAGACTTAGGCTTCTCGGCTATCTGTGGCTGTGGGCGAAAAAAAGAAAAGAAAAAATTGCGGAAGTATAAGGTTCAAACCTGAGGCAACACACTTTTTATTGTCCCTGTTCACCTACTTTTTTTTCTTTTCCTTTTTTTTCTTTTTTCTTTTTTTGATTTTTCCCCTTCTGTCTTCTTCCTTCCCGTTTCCGAGACTCGATACATCCGCTGCTTCCACATAAAGTGGGTTCGAAAAACCAGGCCGAGTGTGCCCCCATTCGCGCGTACCGTACCTGACAGGAACGGTCTCTCACCCAAAATAAAAGGATTTGAGACCCAGTTCTCCACTCAGACCCTTTCCACCTACCCCATCATCCCACCATACATCATATTTTCTTGGAGCCTCATCAACAGAGCTCTATCCCACTCTCGGTCATCCAAGACGGCGGAGTATCCAGCAATCAGCCGCATACCATTGTGACTTGACCTCACATCGGCCCTCAACTCCACTCCTTCTCGTGTGTGTTTCCGTCAGTTTCTCGAATTGCCCTCGACTGCTGGGTGGGTAACGCCCGACGCTGCATCCCAAGGATCGCCATCGTCGAAGACAAAGGACAAATTTTCCGAATCGAGCAATCACCAAGGCCTCATTGCCTGCCTCTGGAGTTGACATACCTGTCGCTCCAAACATCTCCCTTGAACTATCTCGCTAGGGAATATTATGGAAGGGCCTCATTACTCGCCTGATGGTTTAACTTCATCAACGAGTGCCACCGCCTATCCTTCACCCAGTACCCGTTCCAGCACCGCACAACCAGAACAGCAGTATCACCCGCAGGTTTTGCCACCCATCATTGATCAGAGCAAGAACAGTCACGCGTGGAAAATCATGTACGGAGGCAACCACCCTCAGCCGCCTCACGGTCAGGCGACTCCAGGCGCCCCAGCTCCTGGCTCCAATCTTCCCAGCTATCACCAACAGACGACCCAACCCTCGGCGAGGGGTCCCGCATACGCCATGTCTGGCCCTCCCTCGTATCCTTCTCCCCATGCTTTCAGCATGCCTCAGACGACGCAGGCACTCTCTCACCCGCAGCCCATAGCACCGGCTCCTCCCGCCGGACGAGGAGCCCCAGTATTACGCCCGATGCCCGGCGTTATGAATCAGCAAGGCATGATGGGAAACCCCATGATGCAGCAAGGCCCTGGATTGCAGGAGGGTGATCAGCCAACCCATGTTGTGGGTAGCCAGGGACGTCGCGGTATTCTTCCCAGTGCTCCTGGCCGTGTCCCAGTCGGCCAGGTCAACAGCAAAGGCCAAATAACGCCCGTAAAAGATGCGGACGGCAAATTCCCGTGCCCTCATTGCACAAAGACCTATCTGCATGCTAAGCACCTGAAGCGCCATCTTCTTCGCCGTAAGTCACATCTCCCACCCCACTCAGACAGGCTTTTTCTATAGACAATCTGCGATCGACCGAGTTGTCCGCGTCCCTTCGGAAAATGATGCTAATTTAGCCTCTCAGACACCGGTGATCGCCCCTACCGCTGTGTTCTTTGCAACGATACCTTCTCTCGCAGTGATATTTTGAAGCGCCACTTCCAAAAATGCTCGATTAGGAGGGGAAACCCTGCCGGCGTTACCCACTTGTCCCTCCCTCAAGCTCACGTTAAGAAGAGCGCACCTGTTCAGAAGGCGCCTGCGCCCGTCGGAATGGAGGGTGATTTGAACCACCTCAACGGCGGCCTCGGCAACCTTCACGGTGACTCCATGTCTCACGGATACCCAATGGTTCCAGTTCCTGACGGATTGCCCAACCTCACAAATGATCAAGGCCAACTGCAGCGATCCGGCAACATGAGTAGACTAGAGAACAACGGAAACCAAGATCGACAGGGCATGGGTGGCGCCGTTATGGGTTCTGCCCCCAGTCGTGGTGGTTATGAGCAGCACTACGCCAGTAACGTTGCCGGCTCGATGGCCAGCCAGCAAATGCCAAGCTACAATATGCCTCCGGGCCAGAACGGAATGCCCATGTATGCGGGCGGATCGAACTCGAACCAGCAAGTTGACTGGAGTCAAGTGTTCCCAACTGGTGCGCAAGATTCCTACGCCAATGCCTTCCCTCCTAATATTGGTCAGACACAGATTCCGGTCAAGCAAGAACATAATGTCGAGAACGATCGAACAGACGGGGTCCCAGGTGTCAACCCTACCGACTCGCTTTTCTTCGCCAATTACATGCCGCCAACGACCCAAAACCCTTACGTCCTAATCTCCAACCAGATCCTCGCCTACTTTCAATCATCAGGCTCCGCGTATCCGACTCACCCCGACCTTAACCTCGCCCACTCCTTCTTCTCCCCCGAGAACATCCGAGATTTCCTTGATAAATACACTCACTTCCATATTCACTTCCCCTTAATCCATGTCCCGTCTATTCGCATCACGGAGTTGAACACTGGCTTACTCGCAGGTCTTTGTTGTGTGGGAGCGTGCTACTCTGATAGAGTTTCTCCTGATCACGTCCGCGATGTTATGGACCTCGTGCGACCGGCATTCGAGCAACAATCTAAACTTCTCGCGAAAGACTGGCACCAGCAGACTAACTACCCCACGACACTGTCGAAGGAGGACGTAGAAGAGATACAAACTACCATCCTACTATCCGCTCTCCACGTCTGGCATGGAACACCACTGCAACGAGAATGGGGCCAACGCACTTACGCGCTTCTCGCTCTTATCGTCCGATCCGCCGGCCTCTTACGCATCACGCCCGATTCCACGCCATACTCTCCTCTTCATCAACCTGGCTTCTCGCCTCAGAACTTTGACGTTTCGAGTTTTGACTGGTCAGCATGGGTAGAGCAGGAGAAGAAGGTTCGCGTGGTTCACATCATCTTCCTTGCCGACACTGCCATGAGCCTGTATTTCAACATGACGCCAAAACTAGACCCCTTCGAGCTGAATATCCCGCTCCCTAGCGACGACGGGGCCTGGGATGCTCGGACCGATGTGGAGTGTGCTACGGCATTGGGACTGTACGGTCCTGAGGCCGCTCGGGAAAGGAGCGCAGATGGCACGCATCGCGCAAAGCAACCAGAAGCCAACCTCGCGCTCCAGGCACTTCTACACGGGTCATATCAAATTCAACCCGGAAGGACGAATCTATATGGCAAGTTTGTTCTCATCCACGCGATATTATCCATCATTCGCAAAGCGTTGGTGGACCAAAGCGCGGCCGCAATGGTGAAGGAGATGGGCACCCCTCCGCCTCACGATTGGATGGTCAGGGGGAGTGATTCGAGTAATGGTCGGGCGACTCCGGTAGAAGGTGCGGGGCAACAAATACCCCTCCAGACGAGGCAAGCATTATCAACTGCGTTGGACAAGTTTAAGGCCAATTGGGACGCCGATATGGTCACCCAATTCCCGCCCCAACTCCAAGTCAAGAATCCTCGCAGGTACGGCTTCTCAAGGGACGGCATCCACTTCTACTGGTTAGCCAAGTACATGCTCAAGCACACCCGGCCATCGGATCTTCAACTACCCCCAGATGATCGATTCGCGCAAGTGATGCAACTTTTGCGGTCAGTCAAAACGTGGGTGATGACGGACGGGGCCTCAAGGGGCGAAGCACTCGGATCTGTCGGAGACATCAACAAGGACTATGGTGTCTCGGATCGCACACTTAATATGGCGCAGCTTTTCACACCCTTACCAAAAGTGGTAGAAGACCCTCGGATACCCTCTGTTAAGACCGAAATCGACACCGGTATTATATGAACAACCTTCAGGCACTTGCCACGGCACCCTGTTTATAAAGATGGCTTTATATTGCCGAAAGCTGCCATGCACATGCATCCATGTTTCACCTTGTTATTTTCTTTCATTTTCCTCTTTTCACAGTCTTGCATTGATGGCGTTCTTCGTCTTTAAACTTCCCTCAGCATCTGACTTCAATCAGCCACAGTTTGCTCCAGAGCAAACAGCATGTTGCATTCTTACATACTGATGTGCTTTCACCTCCTTGCTTTAAGGGTGGGGGATGTGGCTGATGTGTCTATGATATGGAATGGGCCCAAAAAAATTTCAGTGATGAATACGAAGGGGCTTGGTCGAGTCAACCACTTCAGGAGTTGTTGTCTACCAAACTTCTTCGTATTCCTTACTCTATTCGTCTGCAGTATCTCATTTTTCTTTCCTCTGGTTCTCATATTTTTCCGTATCTTGTTCCGTCAGTCAGCATTCAGAAAGGGTGGCCTCTCGAAAAGAGTAAATAGACGGACTCCGGGAGTTGGTACTGCATTAGACATTTTCATCAATAGAGCAGAGAGGCCCTGGCAGGGATTCATAAGAGGGGCCCTCTAGGAGTGTCACGATTTTCACGGCCGATCTTTTTTCTTGTTCATGAAACTCAGGTTGCTCTCTCTCTCTCATATTCCCCCCTCTCATTATCTCCCTCTCTCTCTCTCATTTTTACCTCACGGGCGGCATGTGAAGGGGCACGGAAGGGTCGGCTCTCGGCAGTCTTGATATGTACGGATTGTCGGATGGCTTCCCTCCCGAATCAACCCTTGTCGTCGGGATGGTGTTTTCTTCGAGCAGTAGGTGGCAAGAAAGGTTATGTATGTCCAGCAAAACAAAAAAGTTGGTGGGGATTTGGTCATTTTTATAAGAGTTCGGTTTTTACCTTCATTTTTTTTTCCCCTTTTGTGTTCTTTCCATCGCCAGATTGTCGAATAAACATGTTGCATTCTACGGGTTTTCAAGAGAGGGTTAGGTGTAAAAGAGAGGAGGGCATAAATTGGTGGGGGGCGCGTGGATTGGGGAATTTGCACATAGAATGAATGGTACGAAGACGGTATTAGGTACAAACAGGGTCTAGATGTGACTATATATACATGTCTCTTATCAACATCTTGATTGATGTGTTTGAGAACTTCCTTAAGAAACGCGAGGTCTCCCGGCATGCCCTGCCTACCTGCAGGCCCAACACCGACATCCACTGAGGTCGCCAGATGGAACTCTGAGCTAGGGGTAACCTAGGATAGTGGGCAAGATCATCCCTCGTAAACACCCCCGTTACCGAATAGGATGCCTCTCCAGTCATCATCCTCCCTCGATATCCCCCAAATTCTATTCCCCCGGTCTGCCTTGCACATAGCGTTGCCTGGTTCGATTCCAAAAACACCTCCAAAGTAGAAATACAAACGTGGAAAAGAAGGGGGGAAAAGGTCCGTTCACTCGCCCTTGGGGCGATCGACAACCAAGATCTTAGGCGTCACCTTTTCGAGGGCCGCCTTATCCGCCTCCGAAGGCGTAAGGCCGTACCTTTCCTCGGCGCGATCCGAGAGATACAGGCCGATGGCGCCCCAGGCGATGATGCCGACGCCAACGCCGATGCGCATAGTTGAAGAGAGGTTTTTGTATGCTCTGGTTTTTCGTTAGCTAGATATCGAGGACGGGCCATCTTCGAGAGTCTATATGTGCTACACATGTCTGCCCGGGTTATGGGAGGTGAAAAAACATACTGGAAGAGCATTGTGGATGAGATTTTATGAGTGATGCATTACGCTACGGGGGTGCTCTCGGGGGGCTTGGGTAGTTCCGGCGGCGATGCGGCCCCGGAGTGTAGCGGTACTTTTCTCTCTCGAAGGATCGGAGCCGGGAGGCAGTTTACAATCTTTCCTTTGAGTGACGCAGTTCGTTTGAAGAGCGTGTTGTCCCGCGATGGTGAAAATGGGGAGGTTGTCGGAACAGGAAAATAGTATTGCCGAAAACTCTACATCTACGACCGGGTGTGTATTCAACATTTCCAAACTCCGAGCGCCTTTTCACTGAACGAGGACGACTTCTGCTTCACCTCTCGGCTTGAATAAAAGTGCAAATGAATATAAATAATAAAAGCTTGGTGACACAAGGACAATAACTTATAGCTCAGCCTAGCACCTGCCAGCTTGAAGAATATTTTGACTGTCAACAAGGTCTCAAACGATGGCTCATTCAAATGCTGTAATATTGACCTCTTCCCTTGATGCTCGGAAAGACTTGGCATCAACATCGTGTTAGTGCATGAACTTCTAGGCTAGATCCTCGTATATTTATTCGCCTCGAGCAGATTTGTTTTCTCGACGATCGTATTTTCAAATTGGATTAAAGTCTCATATTGAGCCGGGATGGCGTGGCATGTCTTGCCCGCTGAGCCAAGAGGGGAAGCCTCCTGAGCTACGGTGCTTATCGGTTTGTGTTAACGGACTTTCTGGCATTCTTCACAAATAGTAGAGAAGGGTTTCATTAAATTAGGCGTTTCACGTTTATTCTGAGAAACTTTGCCCATCTTCGCAACGCCGAGCGGGGAGGACATGAATACAGACTTTTGGAGGGAAAGTCTAGATTCATGGAGTCCGGAGCTGCCGTCCATGGACCTCCGTGGAAAGCCATGACTTCGACGATGGACTTGATCGTGATCTTGCAGCGGGTCGTGTGCGCATAGCATAAAGCGCTGGCTAGAATGGTCCCTTGTGAAAGGAAATGTTGGCTCAGTAAGATGAATATGAGACATCGTCGCATCCTAGAATTGGGGGAAGTCCACCACTAAGGTGGCCTGGAAGAAGGCATGGTCTGGCCCTCTCATTACCGATTTCCGCCATCGCAAGAGGCCTGAAACTTCCTCTTTCTTTTCTGATTCTATTAAGTGGATTGTTTCATTCTACAAGATGACTCGGGGTAGGCCCATGCACCTCTAAGAGGAGACGTTAGTGACTGCTGAAGGAGCTCCGCGGTTTTCCCCGTCTCCATATTAGCGCATGGGAACCCGCCAGACACAGATTGGCCAAGCTCTTTCTCTGGCAAGTGGGTCGTTCGCAGGGAACGACGAGGATGATGTATCATAGGAGTGTCTCGACTTACGAAGTAGTCCACAATATCAGCAGTGCCGTCGAGATTACATAGCAGGGGATGGAAACGAAGCGGGAAAGAAGAAAAAGCAATGGTGAATACGCTGGAGGCCAACCACATCTTCATGCAGGAAGACCCTTCTGAGATGAGTATCGACAATAGAGCAGACCCTTCTCATTCCGGAAACGACGATAGCCGGGCACTAGGCACCTATTTACTTCTTTTTGCTATTGTCGGCCCTCTGTCCCCTTACTTCTTACCAAGTAATTAGCGAAAAGGACTCTTCGTATTGGCATCATCTGCAGAATAAGGTGGCATGACCCAGAAAACATCAGTTCTAGCTCTGGCCATCGGGCATCGGGCATCGGGCATCGGCATCGAACCCACTAACCTGGACCATTTTTTTTTCTTTTGCTTTTGCCAGACGTATCATCGGGTGGAACAGAGACTTGATATTCTGTGGTTATTATCTGGGCCACTACTGTCATGTACATGTAGCCTAGGGAAATTGAGCGGCTACGACGCATGGCTCTCAATGGGTTGAGGAGCAGCGCCGCATATAAATTGATATATGCACGAAGGGGGATTCTGTTTCGGCTGCAGGGCACTCTCCAAGTTGCGGAGGTGCCAATACTTGGAAGGAATGCACAATGCTCGAAAGAGTTTAAGATGGAGAGAGCTGGTGCGAAACCGCATATATTTGGGCGTATTATGCAGTCCGTTGATATCCATTACCCGGCAGACAGCTTATGATCGACATTGCATAGCATAGGAGAGTGCGGGTAACCCGAAACAAGCGTTCGAAATATCACTTCATTATTACCTGTCTGGATTAATTCATCGATTCACATCTTCACATGCGTGATTAATAGTTGATACTTCATAGTTGTTGGAAAAGGGGGGATCTAAACAGGCTCTTCCCACTCGTTTGCGTGGAGAAGGCTCCACGTTTCCTCCAAGAATTTACCAAGGCGGGGAGCTTAACTAACTTGTAACAGTGGGATGAGCGGGGGGTTTAAGATCTAATTTCAGAAGGGGAGTCGCACTATCTGCGTATTCAAGGGAGACAGAAACACCAAGGTAGTTGTCCATTACCGCAGACCATTTCCGCTACTGTTTGAGGGACATTGCCATCTCGGGATTGCGTGTGGAATTCGGGCGAGTGAGAAGAAGAAGGCGTGGGTGTCAGATGTTCTTTGCGAAGTACATCGGGGCCTGAGCCCTTCAGTGGAGTTGGTTCGGAAGGTAATCTTTGTTCTCACAAACTAAAATCCCCCCGCATCGACACGCTCACCAATTCGATACACGGATGTCCGTAATCTCACCGTTTGACATGGCTTTGATGTCCTCGAAAACCTCTTCGATGGGTGTAACAAGGGCGTAGCCTTGGCCTCGGGTTCCCTGTGGAGCTTGTCCCGTAAGCAATAGCCCTACCATCTGGCCGAAGGTGTCGAAGACGACAGCCCCGGAGTCGCCGTTATCTGCGAATGCCTGGGGAGACCCGTCGCCAAAAAGGTGCCCGATAATTACGTGCTCCGAAGAGGGCTTAACCTTCATGTACTTGTCGTGGTCGAGGGTGCACTTGGGTTTATACCTGCTGTAATATCCCACTGTTGCATTCGTTCGGGCGCCGACCTTGAAAACCTTTTGTCCGCAGCGCATCTTCCAAAGGGATGCGTCGAGTTGGGGCCGTAGAGTTCCATTGCGAGCTAATTGCCCCGGACAGCAGCTTGACCCGCCATAGGCAGTTCTCCAGGTTGACATCGGGGGCAGGAGGTTGGGCCCATGTCGGTCATGTTCCACATCAATAAGAGCCCAATCGAGTCTCTGGTTCCGACTAGATCTACGGTTGACCCGATCCGTAGGAAAGCCGACCGAAAACATGCTTTCCAAGGTCAAAAAAAGCAATCTTGGCCTTAAGACTGGCTCTCATCTCTGCCATCTTCTCGGTCTGATCCGCGTCACTGGTTATTGCGGACAGAGGCATCATAGACTCCTCTTGGATAATGCTTGCATCGTCATGAACGGTGTAGTTGTGCTTGATACGCGCTGGGGATTCGAGAGGTAGGGATTCAGGCACGGTCTTCGGGGTGAAGCCAGACATGTCCGCCCTCCAAAGTTGCGATTCCCTAACGGGGTCTGCAATAGCGGACGCGGTGAGGCTGCTATCTATCGTGCCGCCACCTGGAGCAGTAATACCCCCGTGAGGAAACGGTTCAGTCCCGGATGCTGCTGTTAACTTGAAGCCTTCGAGACACGGCCTTATGACATGGTAGTTTGTGAGGCCTAGCCTAACCCACTCAGACGAGGACCTAGTTTTCACTTCGATGTAACACCCGAGTGTCCCCAGAATGGGATTGCAGCGCATTTGGTCGTCTCGAGTGAGGTAAGTTGAAGCACTGATATCGCCTCCGAGACCCACACCTTTTTTGTAATCATCGGGGATCAAGAGGCCTCGATGGCTGTTACGCGGCTCCAGGAGCTCGAAGGCGAATCCTTTTAGGATGTTATGCTCCATATGGACCACAAGGCCGTGCTCAAGCCCATCGAGGTACGCTTGTATTTCCCGAGCAACTGGTGGCCAGCTCACTTCGTCTGCGTCATAATCCAGAGAGACATAGACTGTGATTGGATTGTTGTCAGGATTAGGCGAAAACCCCAGTCGGAACAAACCAATGGAGGTCATACAACCCCGCGTCTGTGAAAAGGATTCCAGGATCGAATAGACTTTATCCTGTATGGCTGGCCAGTCTGATTCCAGGTTGGCATTGTCTTCAACAGGCCCAAGGAATTTGCGTCGTGTTAACTCAGGCGCCATCATCTCGACGCAGACATCAATGGGTCCGGGATGGTCGTCGAAGGTGGAATCCGCGAGCCGGTTGTCGATATATGATTTGACAGCTGAAACAACGGCTTCCCAGCTATGCTTCTTGCTCTCTTCCCATGGTGCGACGATGGTGAGGGTGGGTTTCGCGGTGTGTGGTAGGCCAAGCACCGATCGAGTTACAAAGTCAATCTCAACATCGCAATCGTCATTCCCTTCAATCTCATAAGCAGCAAGAACTTCTTCTGCCTTCTCGATGAACTCCACTGCAAATTGAGTGTAAATGGCGCTCATTGTGTTGTCAAATGTAGTTTCTAGAGGTAGGGGACGCAGGGGAGGGGCGCCAACACGGAACTGGACGCTAGATATTCCAAAGGTACCAGAGGCACTGCTCCCTGCTGAGGTGGGAGCTGATCGACCAGATCTGGAGTTATGGGTCGATGGAGGAGTAGGGAGATCTCTACCAATATCCTGTGAATGAGGCATGATGATGATGGAGAATGATGATGATGGGAGAACGATGATGAAGAAGGATGATGGGTAAACAGAATGGATGGTGGTGACGATAAACGTCGCTAGTGGTGTTGTTCGTAGATGTTGAAGAGGTGGAAAAGAAGGAAAGATGAGAAAATGAGGAAAGCTTTGTTTTGGGAAGAAGGCAACTGGGCATGTGACATGTCCAATGCATCTTGATCTCTTGCTGGAGGAAGTTGCAGTTCGATCACTTGAGCAATATCATATATGGAAGGAGCATTTGAGGTTCACTTTGACTAATATCACAAGATCAAATCCCTAGATCCTCAGATCCTCAGACCAGTGGAGCATGAAGATTAAAGAGGAATCACATGCAAGAGCAAGGAGCAATGGAATAGATAAAGCCTGGGTAGATATCAAACCTTCCAGGAAACTATGAAAGCTCCTAACATGTTTGAAAGCGTGCCAGAACTGTTAACAATGGAAAGAGGAAAGGATGTTATAAGAAGATGAAGATGGCTTCTAACAGAACGGAAACGTCGAACAAGGGATGACACACGTGACAGGAAGAAGACAATACCACAAAGGCACAATCCACCACGGTATATAGCTGGCAATATGACCATACGCAATCGATTCCGGTGAGTGGAACAACAGATCCCCTAGATTAAATACGCTCTCCTCGCCTTGAAGGAACGTCGAGATTTGCAGGGCAATGCCGTGATGCGTGGTGGAGAAACGTAGTTTATGGGTGGAATGGAGGGAGCAAAGTAGATACCACAGCCCGCACATTCAGATATCACGGTCTGGATACTCGGTCGATGGATAGGGCTACACCAACATCTCGAGGACCTCACCACCCGCGGTGGTATGGACACGGTCCGCCTGTGCATCCGGGTTCAAAAGTTATAAATCCACTATGGCCTTCCGTACTCGGTGTGTGCTATGGTTACGAGGATATCCACTAGGCACCTTTCGCATTGTTTCGTGCTTGAAGTTAAGCATAGAGAGTTCTTCTTGTGCACGTACTTGGTCTTATCACTAACTCAGCACAACGGCCAGTGGGGGCTACTTCGCAGTTCCTACGTACACGGGTAAAAATCGTGGGCTATTCTTTCCTTGGTGTGGCGCGACAAGAGATATCTCGCTCAGATCAGAGACTCAAGCTGAAAGTTCGCTCTTAGAAAGGGAGACCGTGGGTGGGGAAGCGTTCTCATTGGATTCATGTTCCCCACGATGGATCCGTCCGAGTTGCCGTGCGCTCAGGCGTCCGGGTCAGCGGGCGGTTGGTCAGTAATCAATAAGTTGAAAGTTCACGGGTTTTCCTAGGGTTCGGGGTTGGGTTGGGCTTGGCTGGCCTGGATTTTGGTGGAAGCGGGGGAAGACACTGTGGCGCTGAGCCTTTTCGGGGTCAGCGTATGAAGTGGTTTAGTTCGTACGACTGACTGACTGCCTTGGCTGCTGGCTTTGTACACAAAATTGACACGTGGATGTGGTTTAGACTGTCGTTACGCTTTGGGAGAGATATTGATGTCGCCATCCCAGGCTGAAGATGGTAACCTTGATGGAAAATCGGGGTCCAGGAAAAAGGAAAATCATCATGGATGCCCCTTTTTCCATAACGCAGGATCCAGGAACCGGTTGCCGGTCCACGCACACGCACACGCACGCTTGCGTCTTGCTGGAATCATGCAGTCTTTATCGCTGACGTCTTCCGAACTCCGCTTGTTTGGCGGGATGGTTGGGACGACTGAACTATTACTTTTCGCTAGCATGCGCTTGGACTAGTGCCGACACTACATCGGACAGGCAAAGAGGCGATCATCGGGTGTGGAGCCGCAAGGACTCGCATTTTCAGAGAGAGACACTACACTATTATCCCTGTTTCCCGTCGATCGCAGATTCAAGGTCAAGGATGAAGGGGGCTGGTTGAGGTGGTCTGCTCCCATCACATCGTCCTCTGGTATGATGTGAGGTTTCGGAGAGGGAGAGAAACGGTGGGTAGCAACAGAGGGCAGGATGAAGAGACTGTGTGCGCTGTCCGTTCATTTCTTTCTTGCCTGCTTTCTGCGGAAGGAGTGCATTTCGAAACGTGTTGTCGCCTTTGCTCTCGTGTTGTTTCGTCGTACTGCTTGAACGGGAAGGAAAGAAAAGCAATTACCGCACACACGTGTGTAAAATTCTCCTGGTTCCGACTGCACTGGTATCGTAACATGGTGTTTCCTGTCTCTACTTCGTAGTTATGAAGGATTGGAGCACAATCACTTCCAGGTAGATTCCCAATGGGGATGGGCGTGGAGAGGGTTGGTTGCATTGTTGCATTGGTGTGTGTGAGTTATTTCGTAGGCGCCCCGAGCCAGCGCTTCGCTTAAATCGCCACACCATCTTTGCATGATGAAATGGGGGAATGGGAGTTATGGTCGACGGATTGGGCAGGAGAGAGGTATCGTGAATCAATTGCCTCGCTTTTTTCCCCTGCTAGCCATACCATAAACGTACAAGGAGAGGAGATAAACTTCGACATCTGCACAGATCCACAGCTTTAGACTTTATATTGCGGTGATCATCGCAGGCACAGGCCGGAGAGAGATCGAACAGAGACTCCTTTCGTACTTCGTAGGAATGAACGATTGATGATTTGAGATCTAGGGCCTAGACACATACGAAGTAGTGTAGTGTAAGTATGTTGGCTGCAGAGCTGGCTGCAGAGCTAATGCAATGCAGCTTTCTCTTGAGAGGAACAGCAGAGTATCTCGGATTACATTGTACACTACGAAGTACAATTGTATTTACTCTGTCTCCGTCGAGACACAAGGTCGAAGTTCCACCTTGGAGGATTCGATGCTTCTCAGACATCAACAGATCGATTGGGACAATCGGACTGTGCAATATAATACGAAGTACGAAGTACTTCGTAGGGCAATAGCAATAGACAGGACATGCCGTGGTCCTGGCGGTACCGACAAAGACATTTTTAGCTGCGTTTGATTGCATTAATTGATTGATCTTGATACCTCGTAATTTTGCTCAGTGCTTTGAGCAATCAATCGATATATTAAAGGGTCTAAGTTGGCCATGTGGACGCATTGTATCAATCCACCCAATGCCCTCGTATCTTTATGCCTTTCACTGCCCTGTGAGATACAAGGCCTCCTTCTTCGCTATTGCTGCCGCTGATATTAAATGGGGGCAGAAATGGATCAGGGATCTCGATAACTTCCCCGCAGGGTCTTCCGTTTAATAGATGGACTGAGGGAGGGCAATCTATTGCAATTATGCAGCCAATGTTCCTACATGACGATCGAGCAGAATTATACTTTCTCGTCAGGGGCACCGCCCGCTGCACGTCGGGTAGGGGTCTGGAGATCAAATCTATTAGTCTGCGAACGAAGTTCTTGTGTCTGGTGGGAAAGAAAACCTCCGGCTCAGCAAGACAAGCGGGCAGCCGCTGCTTGTGCTGGCCGACTGTCAATATCGAGTGAGGTTATCGATGGTAAGAATGCTGCAGCACGGGCAAGCGCGGGAACTCATACTTCGTACAACGGCCATAATAGTACTTCACACGGGTAATATTAGAAAGGCTCAGTAGATGATAGATGACGGGTCGTGAGGAGGCGATATCATGAAGATGAAGTGCTGTTGTCCCCGTCTTCTCTTTTCTCTCCTCCCCACACCTTCACCTTTCCTTTCGTTCATTTCATCCCTGGGGACGCGCAAAACCGCCACCATTCCATTCATTTTGTCGTTCATTACCTGTGTACTTGCTAATATTACTTGTCTCGCTCTCTTGGGAATCTCACTCATTAGAACCATTTGACCAACTTGACCAACAGCCCGCCAACAGCTGACGATCGAGCATCCTTGTTTGACAGGCGAATCCGGACGGTGACCTCGATCCAGGATTGGACCTTCCCAACTTTCATGGACCACGAACCACACCTGTCACCCAACATGCAACTGCGACCTTTGTTCCTTCCTTGGCTCTGGTGACTCTTTGTCTCTCGTTTTCGGCCCTCGTCTTTCCTCGTTCTCTCATTCTCTGTTGATATTGTCGATTACTGTTATTTCTCTCTCCATCTGATCGTCCATTGTCCCCTCATTGCTTTTCCCCATTTCCCCCGTAGCGCCGAGTCGTCAAAATCCTAGTCCCACTTAGGCTGCCCCCAAATATCACAAATATCATCGACGCCTGCAAAATCGCAGGCAGCTAAAACACAGAGTTACGCCGGTCGGTCCTGCTAGCAGTAGCTCCACGTCATTCGGGTCTTCTCCGAGAGTGGAAGTGAGAGTGGAAGTACGGAGTATTGCACCCCACTGCCGCTACAAAGTACAGTATTACTTCGGTACACTGGTGCAGTACACCCTCTTGCTCTCCCTTGGGGCTTCCCCCTCCCTCTCCAAGACAAGGTCCACTCAACATTGAAGCCTCATCACTGCGACCTATTTCCTCACATCTCGGCCCATTTCCAGCCATCACGGCCTGGCCATTTGATATCGCTCACCGGCTGGCTTGCTTTGCCTGGAGAGTCCGCAAATGCGCCTACGATCTTCATCAGCATAGAACATTTGAAAACAAGCAAACCTGGAACCGCTTGACTCTGGAATGGACGCATCCGGTCGCCCCATTGATGGTCAGGTCGCTTTGTTTAAAAAACCCCGCCAACAACTCCGTGGCGCACTTCTTGCGTCGCCCAATCCAACAAACCCTGTCCTAGCATCCGCCCATCATTGCAAGGTGAAGTGCCAAGTCCAAGTGGTCCGGTACACAATACGACGCTGCTTCATACTTCGCACGCAAGCTGGGGACAAGGGTACCGGCTCCCAGAATCTCGGACCAACAATTCATTGACCATCGTTATTAACGTCGAAAATTCTTCATTCATTCCTGCTCCATAATAATAATTTGATCTTGCCTGCCCCAGTTCTGCCATAATACCTCTCCAGAATATTATTTCGTAATATTTGGTAGCGGCAAACGAGAAAAATCTCTGATCCATCTCGGTCCTTGCCTAGCCTGGCTGGTACCCGCCTCCATCTCCATCGCAATCGCTTTCGCCGTCACCCTCGGACCTGGAATCTGGTTCCTCCTCCGTTCACCCAGCCACTGCAGTCTTCAAGTTCCCACTTTCAAGGGTCCATCAGCATCAGTCGTGTACCTCTACGGCTTGGAAATCACCTTACAAAGTATTGTATGCTACGCCATTTCCGTTTCCAGCCTTACAAATTAACACCAACACCATTTCTCCTCGGTATTGCTCCCGTCCAGCGCCCTCCTGCGAAGTAGGCTTCATCCTGCAACTACGCCAACGTTCAAAGGACGAGAAGCACAAGACCAACACCAACACCAATACGACCTGCAACTACCGTACCCGAACCGTACCGTACCGTTCCGTATCGTGGGCGAAGTGTCTCTCTGTCGGGCTTGCTGCAGTCACCCCTCTGGTGTACTTGGTACCTTCGCCCTCTCCCTCGCGCTCCTCCTCTCTCGTCTCACTCGTCTTCCACCTTTCCCTTTCCAAGTTCCAAGTCCCTCCAACAAACCACACCAAAGCAAACCAAACAAAGCCTGCACAATCCAATCCAATCCAATCCAGTCCAACCCAAAAAGAGCTGTGCTTCCCTTTCCTGCAGCCACTTCTGGCCCATTGGTCTTGGTACAACTGCCCTGACCCTTGCAAATTGTCTTTGCTTTTTCCCTCTCGTTCGCCCAAGGCCCTCCGTTGTTGTCTTGTCCTCCTTGCCTTCCTCTTCTTTAGCTCATTCATAGTCCCTCCTCATTAAAACTCAGCCTGAGCCCAAATCGAGTTTTGGGCCCTTTTCCCTCCTCGGTCCAACCGCCTTTGTTGTTGTTTTTTGGGATCCAAATCTCTTCTTCCCTTTTTCCTCTAACCAACTTGACCTTTTACCTGACACGACCAGTTTAAGTTGCGCCCCTCCTCGACACCTTCGCATCGGGGACGTCGACTTGGATAGCGCCCTCGCTAGAGGGGCTTTGATTTCATTCCTCATGAACCCCGTCGTATAGATGTCTACAGACTACACACACTATGCATCGAGTATCGGCTCTACTGTCGTGGGATAAGCGGAAATCCGCCCAGAAACTTCCCAACCCTCTCAATCGCCTATCGACTCCTACCTCGACGACGACAACGACGACAACGACGACGAAGGTGACCAAGGAAGACTTCTGGCCCGGGAGTCTCGATCAGGAATGCGAAAAGGCCGCCCGCATATTGAAATCCTTTTGCAGTATGGTCCATCCAATCCCCACGTTCCTTCCCCCAAGCACATACTCTTTGTCTTTTCTCTGTTTCTCGTTTTCGCCATGGACATCTACCCACCTGCCTCTGTTGGTGATGTACTCTAATATGACTCCCAACGTACAGCCGACGGATGCCTCGCGCCGCTTACCGACGATGACTCGACCACCGCATCCGAACCAAAGTCCCCGCTGAGAATCACCAAGAGGATACCGAAACGAATTGTTCAGAATGCTGCCGGTATTGCTATTTTTACTTGTATGCGGTCCGGTCTTTGGATGACCGGCTCGGGAGGCTCTGGCATCTTGATTGCGCGAAAGGCCGACGGAACCTGGTCGCCACCCTCGGCTCTGCTCCTGCACACACCGACGCTAAGCTTCATTATGGGCGTCGACATCTACGACTGTGTCTTGGTTATCAACAACCTGTCGGCTCTCGAGTCCATTGTGCAACCCCAGGTCACCCTTGGTGAAGATGTTGGCCTCCTCTGCGGCCCCATGGTGCCTCATGGATCTTCCGAAGAGGAGATCAAGTGGAAGGACTTGGGCAACACGGTTTTCACTTACCTGAAGTCAAGGGGCCAAATCCAACCAGTTAACCTCAACGGCTGCATGCTAGTTGAACGTGGAAATGAGAATGAGCGTTTCTATGGTGGTAGTATTACTATGATGGATATTCTAGCGGGAAACGTCTCCAAGGACGTCGAGGAGTCTCGACCCCTCTCCGAGGTTATTAAGCAAGCAGAAGGTCGTTCCGATTACGATGCCGCACTCATCGAGCAAGTTTCCGTCCACTGTGCCCCCGGCGACGCGGTCATAGAAACACCGAAGCCCACGCCCCCAGTATCACCACGGCAGCCCTTCGGCATTCCTTCGCCCGATGACCCCGATCCTTTTGGCGTCCTAGCGCTCGAGATGGCCGGCCTGGAGATCCGTGAAGCTGGTACCCGTCTTCGACCTGCGAGTAGCCAGTTCGAGTATGTTCCGAGCCCGACGAGTCCACTTTTTCCACGCTTCAGCAAGCGACAGAGCATCGATACGATGGCGACGCGAAGCAACCGAGGCAGTTGTCTGTCGGTTCGCACAGAGAACACTCACACAACAGATGCCTGCACTCAGACCGAGACCTCGAACACGCCACACACAACACCTAGCTTGGCTCACAGCGACGACAGCCGTGACCGGGCATCTCTAGAGAAGATGAGGGGCCTAGAGAATGTCATCGAGGAGGAGGTCGATTACACCAAGATCGACTTTTCTCCCATTAGGCAGTTTAGCAATCAACATTCTCTCGATGGCATGACCATGATTGACAGCTCAACTAGCACGGACGATGACCAACACACTGACCGCGACTCGACCCGGTACGATGAAACCGTAGTTACTGCCGATGTCCCTCTGCCAATCGAGACTGTGGAGGAGGATGATGATGGTGACGATGCCGACGACGAGGATGACGAGCTTGACGATGACGACGACGAGCCTGTTGTTGTTTTCGAGGTGGCATCGGCCGTGCAACCTGTACGGACTGCCGTCGTATCATCTCAAGTTGTCCAGGCCAAAGGCTCTATCGTCACCATTCCGAAGAGGATCCCCCCACCATTGCCTCTTCGCAACCCCGCGCGCAGCTCCCAAGCCAAGAGTGATCTTGGCGATGTGAGTGGACTTATGAGCCCTGCCCGGAGCTCTTTCGCCAGCGACGAGCGTGTATCCGTTGCGTCAGAGCCCACTATTGCCACCATCGCCCAGGAGAAGCCCAAGGTTGAAACACTGCAGGTTACGCCCGCTGTCGAGTTTAAACACCTTGCACCTCGCGACATTCCTACGCCTGTTTCTCTTGACTCTGAGGACAACGCCAGCTTTAAGTCTTTGGCCGATACCCAGTCAACAAACGTAGCGGAGTCTGCCGAAGAACATGGCTCGAATACTCAGCAAACGACAGTTGACATGGCCTCCGCCGCGACTGAGGTGGCACCTGCTGCTACGGTTGTGACCGTCGCCTGATTTGGATGTGACGAGCAAAGAACACAACAGTTTCGAAACGAAACGGGCCGACCCTCATCCGGGGGTATTGTACAACACTTTATAAAGTATACGAGGCATAGCAATGCACATCTTAACACGCGGCCGCGTCTTAATGACCCCAGTCTGCAATGTCACTGCAGACAAGCTAGTCAACACCGCTAGCTTTCTTTTTCTCTTTTTGTTTTAACGATCGGGAGGATTTGGAAAGAACTATTGGAAGCATTATTCTTGGAAGAACTGGGCCTTTTCTTGATGGTCCCTTGCTCTATGAAACTGGCGTTTGTGAGGATTCAGGGTCTTTGCTTCCCTATTTCAGCGGGAAACTCGGGGAGGGAATTCTTTTACAATTACTTCTAATCTTTACGCGGGAACGGGATTGACAGGGTGGGTTGCTGTTTAGAGGCATGACGGCCTGTCAGAATGCGGGATTCTCAAGTTTAGGCGTAGGAAGGATAGATGAGTCTCTGAAGAACAAGAGAATCGATGGATATGCCGATAGAGAGATATGATTGCTGAAGGACGCCGGCTAGTCTTGGATGGTGAAATGGTCTTGACAGGAGGCATCAAGACGGATTAGCTACGGGGTCGAGGCTTCGCGGGTTTTCTTCGCCTGCTTCTTGTTAATTTATACCCAAATTTCATATTCGATTACTTTCCTCGCCTCGATATTAGCGTAGAATGACCTGCAAGTTTTAATAGCTGCTTTACCTTACAGCTTCGTTATGATATGGAAGCCTCCTGCTTTCTTGATGTTGGGGATGAAGTGCCCAATGCTATACACTCACTCCCCACAAAGGCTCACCCCACCCTCGCCACACAACTGCCGCGGGCAGGTGTCACCAGCCTTACACTGGCTGCCCGATTCCAGCCGCAGTTCCAGCCACACACACCAGCCCCCCTTTACCCTGAGTTTGAACTTTACCTCAATGGAAGGAGCAGCGCAAACACTTTTTAGTGCATTTTGGAAGAGTCGCGACAACAACGCTCCATCGCGCATCCCGGCAATACTAAGTGTTCATTGCCGTGCCAGGCATTACAAGTCCACGCCAATCTCTCTCCTGCGGCGCATACTAAACACAGCGAGTCTATAGAATAGTCGCCACTCCCTTTTTGTTAAAACCCAACACAATCGAGAAATTACCCCACGCGACGGCGAACGCAAAGAGGACCAACCGAGCCTCGTCCTCCCCCCCCCCCCCCCCCCCCCCCCCCCCGGTCCAACCCCGCGAAACAGAACTATTTTTTTGAGTCGGGAAAAAAAGGGAGCAAGTAGCTAACGGGCAAAATGTCGGGAAGCGCGGCGAAGTGGAAGGAGGAGCAGATCCTCGTGATCTGCCCGGGGAGCAAGACGACGATGGCGCAACTGGGATGCAACGAGCTGACGCCGCCGGTGCATCGGATCCCGACGCGTATGTTTAGGGATCCCGAGGATGGCGGGTGGAGGCCGTATCACACGTTCAAGAGGAAGAAGGCGGGCGCGGGGAAGAAGCAGCAGCAGCAGGCCGAGGGGGAGGTGCAGCAGGTGCAGCAGAATGGGGAGGCGGTGGAGGATGATGAGTGGGAGTGGGTTGAGGATCAGGATTCGAGTGAGGGGGCGGTATATCCTATGCAAGGTGAGTTGGGAAAAGATGGGAGGGAACCCAACTGATCTCGGGGTGTGAATTCTCTTGCTAACTTGGACTCTCCCGTAGCCGGTCGAATCGTCAACATGCCCGCCTTCCTCGCCTTCCTAGACCACATCCATAGCATGCTCACAACAACATACCACAACACGCCCATCGTGCTAATGGCATCCCCGCAATGGACGCGCGACTGCATCGAAGAAATTACCCGTTACATATTCGAAAAGACAAAGACGCCCTCCCTCTGCCTAATCCACTCCGCGCTCGCAACGCAATACGGCCTCCGCTGGCCCAACATGACGGTAGTCGACATCGGCTTCGAAAAAGTAGACGTCACCTGCATCTACGACGGCAGCGTAGTCAACCACATGGATATCGGCGTGCCCTACGGAAAAGTCCAGGGTATCCAATCCGGTGGCGAAGTCTTTACGCAAAAACTGCTGGGCCTCCTGCGCGACAAGGGTTTTAATTATGATATGGCCGAGCAGCTGAAGAAGAGCGGCATCTGTGAGGTCCTGGCATATAACCCGGACGTGCCGCCCAATTATATGGAGCTGCCCAAGGAGAATGCGGACCCCGCGGGCGGCGCTGCGTTGGGGGCTGGTAACGATCCTGTCAAGGTTGCGGCGGAGGCGGCGAGGGTGCCGTTGATGCTTGATGAGGAGGACGCGGAGGAGAGAGGGGTGGATTCGGATGGGGTGTTGGATGTGGCTAGTATTGTTACGAGCGGGCAGACAAAGGAGTTTTTGGCGAAGAAGGAGAAGGAAAAGGGGAAGGGGGGTAGGAAGGGGAAGGATAAGGAGGGAGCGGATGGGCAGAATGCTAGGACTGGGAGGTTGCCTAACGCTAAGAGGATGCGGAATGTTTTCCATTACGAGGAGGTTATTCAGGAAGAGGTTCCTAAGCCTAAGCCTGCCCCCCTTCCAGCCGCCGCTCCCACTAGCACCACCGCTGCTACTACCGAGAACGGTGTCGAGAAGCCCACAGAAGCTACCGAAGGTGGTGAAAACAAGCCTGCCGCGCCAGAGGGAGCCGCCAAGCCAGAAGGCGAAGACGCCATGAAAGTCGACGCGGCACCCGAACCAGCCCCGGCCCCTAAAGACGAAGGCCCCGTCGAAACGGAACTCCGAGCCAAGCTCGTCCGCCGCGACATCGAAGTCGGCCTCGAACGCTTCACCTTCGCCGAACGCGAACAAATCGACCGCATCACCTCCCTCATCTGGAAGACCGTCCAAGGCATCCCGGACATGTTCATGCGCCCCGCGTGCTGGGACCACATCGTCATCGTCGGAAACGGCTCGCGCATCCGCGGTCTCCGCGAGAACATCATTCAGACCCTCACGGCGCGGCATCTCATCTCGCCTTCGTCCGCTACCATTTTCACATCCGAGTTGCCGTCCAACATGGCTACCCCCACGGGTACGGGTTCCCAGACGCCCACGGGTTCGTTTACGGGCACGCCTCATCAGCTTCCTACCTCTGGCGTGAACCCTCTGCTTCAGGCCGCCACGACTGCTACCCTCAACGCCGGGCTGTTAGCGGGCCCCGGAGCCCCCGCCAGCGAAGTCGGCGGTGCGTCGAGCGGCACGTCGCATCGGTTCCATAGCCAGACGCCCACGAGCATCAAGCTCGCGCCCCTGCCGACGTATCTGTCGGAGTGGTCAAAGAACGGGTACGAGGAGGCCATGTTTTTGGGGTCGCAGGTTGCCGGGAGGATTGCGTTTTGCTTGCATAATCTTGATGGGCCGAATACGGAGGCGCAGAAGAAGATGAGCTTGAGTCGTGTCGAGTACAAGTATGTTGTTATCTTTTTTTTTTTTTTTTTTTTTTTTTTTTTTTTTTCGTCTTTTCCTACTTGGTTTTCTTTTGCTAACGAGAAATTACAGTGAACTTGGGCCAAAGGGTGTCCGGAAGCACTCGATGCTTGCATAACTTGTGAGCTCCTTCTACCCCTGAAACGATATTTCGTTGGGATATGTACATGAGACGGGAGGAAACCGGAGTTGGATGAGATGCGGACACGGTAGAAAATTGGGGAAAAATCAAAAAGGAAGAAGTAGAAGAATCCAAAAAAAATTGGCCTCGTGGACAAGGGAGCTTCGGGTAGGTTTTTCATGTGGATCTAGATGTAGGCTATAGTGTTCTTTCGTCCGTTGTGTTGGTTTGTTACTTTCCTTTTTGTTTCCTCGTATGCACTTAAGTAGTTTTTAATGTACAATAAAGGGAACGCGACAAGATAGGTTCTTCAGGCCGGGGTACTACCTGCTCAAGTGGCGTTTCGTTGCGGAGTTGTGCAAACATTGCGAGTCTAACTCTAGTCACGAAGAAGCCTCGTTGAGGATGGACAAGATACGGGGCTTAAGAGTCGATTGAGATCACATTGAAAGACGGAAAAGAAGTTTCTCAAATGCTTATATTCATACCAATGCTATCGGGATTCTAATACCCATCGCTCCCCTTCCCCCTTCCTCGTTTCGTAACATTCTAGTCAATCCGTAATGGTGTCACACAATGTAAAATGTCAAAAAGAAACGAAACGAATAAAAGATAAGATGCTGGTGTTATACGAAAAAGACTGTGGCTCAATTCCTTCAAAGCCGAGTCTCCCTCAAAAGAACAAAAGAGTTAACAATTTTCGCAATTCCTGAAAAACAAAAGCCTCCTTGAAAAACGCCAGCATCAAAAAAAAACAAGATGATTCGAATGGGAGTTGTGAAAGATAAAATCGACACCCTCTTTCGTCATATGCATCATCGTCTCTCCCTCCCAGGGATTCTTTGGATTAAGGTCGGTTCGTCGCATCGTGAGTGGTGGTTTAAAGTTGCCGAGTTTGGTTTAGCGGGTGGATTCGATCGATGATCGTTGTTACATGCAGCAACTTTCGGGGTCATGTGGGCTTTTGGAGAGTTTGCCCTGAGCCAACCTTTTTTTCATGTTCCCTTTCGTCTTCTTTTCTCTACTCCATCAACATGCCAATCCATTTCGTAGAGGAAAAAAAAAAAATTGCACCTTTTCTATTCTTCAACCGTCAACTGAGATTTCAGGGACAAATCATCTACGCCGCATCAGCAGCAGCAACGGGCTGAGGCACCCTGGTAACCTGGAGACCAGCCCTGATGATGCGCTGGCCGGTGGAGTCGCTGATGTACGACATGTCCTTGTTCTCGAACTGAGCGCGCTTCCAGACCTCAACCTCACAGCCTCCGCGGAGGACACCGACACGCATGGTGGAGAGAAGGTTGTGGGCGGCGTTGGTGTGGTCGTAGACACCGCCATTGAAAACGGCGGTGGCGTCCTTACCGATGGCAGAGTTGATGAGAGCCTTGCCACCGGGGTGGTCGTTGATGAAGTCACCAATATCGTGGATGACACCGGCGATGGCGGTAAGCTTCTTGCCCCTCTCCTTGCAGTCGGCAACGAAGTCGTCCCAGTCGACAACGGGGAGCTGCTCGAGAGGTACACCCCAGTCGAGGGTAGCACGCTTCTGGTCGAGCTTCTTCTGGAGCTGCTGGACACGGCCCTTCTCGATTTCGTTGGCGCGGAACTGCTTGAGGTCGTAGGCGAGGCCGAGCTGCTTCCAGACCCAGATGTGCCACTTGGTGGGGTCGTACTGGTACCACTCGATGGCGTTGCGGTAGTCGGAGGGGAACTCGTGGTGGAAGTTGTGGTATCCCTCACCAAGGGTGACGAGGGCAGTGATGACGTTGTCACGGGGAGAGTTGCGGTCATCGAAGGGCTGGTCACCGATCCAGTGGGCGAGCGAGTTGATGCAGAAGGTGGCTTGCTGAACGATGAAAATCTGCACTCATTCGTTAGCTATCAATGCGCGATGCCACTTCCTCACCGGCCGCATAAAGAAAAAAATCAAACTTACTCGGAGAATGGCGCCATAGACGAAGCCGCCAAGCCAGTCGTTGAACATGAGGCCACAGAAAACGGTGGGGAAAATGACGGCCATGACAAGAGTGCACTTCAGGAAGTGCTTGTGCTGCCAGACGACGACGGGGCACTCGTTCAGGTCGGTAATGTCGGTTCGGCCAATGCGCTTGGGGTCCTGCTTGAAGATCATCCAGCCCATGTGGGAGTAGAGGAGACCCTTGCGAACGGAGTAGGGATCCTTGTCGGTGTCGGTGTATCGGTGGTGAGCACGGTGGTCCCTCGACCACCACCTGATGGAGCCCTCAACGGCGGCAGATCCAACAGCAGCGAGGTAGATCTTGAGAGGAAGGCATGCCTGGTAGGACTTGTGCGCCCAGAGACGGTGATAACCTATTGTCGTGACTTTGTCAGCAAACACTGACCGGAAAAATCATGCAGATAGACTCGGACACCGTCTTCCTTGTCTGTCGCGCGAGTTAGTTTCTCAACTTACCAGCAGTAATTCCGAGACCGCTGTTGAAGTAGTAGATGAGAGTGAAGATGGCAGTGTTGAGCTGGAGAGGCACCCAGTACGAGGCGATCAGGCCAGCCATGGGAATGAAGACGACGAAGGTCGTGTTGAGCCAGTTGACATGTTGGTACCAGTTGGACCAAGTCATGGGCAACTCGGAAATGTGAGGCTTCTTCGGGCCGCTCTCCTTCTTAATGCCGGCAGCCCTCAGAGGCTTGTAATCTGTCGTGCCATCGGGGAAGGCATCGACGCTCGACGACTTGGCCGACATGTTTGCGGCTATCCTGACTGATCCACCACTTAGAATAAGGAATTGGGAGGGAGATGTGATGCACGACTCCGGTGTGATTAAGAGTAGAAGGAAAAGAAAAACAAGAAAAAGAAAAGACGATGGGAGTCCTCGCTGATTAGTGAGGTGATGGTGAGTACGTTGAAGAACTATACACCATGAGAATCCTGGAGAGGAGGTCTGGGTGAAGGGGAACAAAAAGTGAGGGAGGATATGACGGCGTTAAAAACCAAAAAAAGTTACAACCAGGATTAGGAAAAGAGGACCTGCAGGCACTCAGACTTGTGTCAAGGAGGCAAACTGCGGTTCCCGACGGAGGTGGAGGGATCAAGGAAAGGTTGGGGAACGATTGGAAGGTGTGACAAGAGCGTGGGTCCCTTCTGAAAATATGTTGAAGATGGGGTTGGGACTGGGATTGGGGGGAAGATGGGGGGAGATCAGGGACTCGGAGGTACACGTCGGACAGGCGGTAATTCAGTGTGCGAGGTAAGTACCTATGGTGCGCTGGTGGATCCCGGGGGCCTGGTGTGGAATTTTGTGGTGACCAAAGACGGCGGCAAAGTGATGGATCAATGGCTTCGTTTCGCCTCCTTCGACCGAGGAATATCACGTCGTTCACAGGCGTGACTCGAGCCTCTGATCGAATGATGTGCCTCGGAAGATGTCAGCTCGTGGGTTGCAGTGTTGAGGACTGGAGAAGTAAGAAAGTAAGAGTCCAGACAACTACGAAGTATGGCGAAGCATGTCTTTGAAGACGAGTACGGAAGTCCGAAAGTACGGCGAGAGCAATGTCAAGTAAGCATGTTCAGCTCAACCGAGACTGGAGCATCGAAGTCTGGAGTGTACCTTCGTAGTGGTTGAGTACGCGTCGTGTACATCGTACTCGGCTCGTCTTTGTCCGCGCCAGCCTATGAATTGTCTCCTCTACGTGCTACGAGTGCGAAATACACTTACAGAGTACGAAGTACACTTCTAGAGGAAAGCAATTCGCTGCATCAACAGCAAGCCCCAGTGCTGCTGCGAGTGTTCATAAAAACTGTCAATGACAACATCCACTTCGTACTTCGAAGGCGTTCATGTTTCTTTCACGCAGTTCCTCCCAGTTTCCTCCATGTTAGTCGAAAGTGGGGCCAGTGGAAATCCACTTCACACGCCTCACTTCCCGATCTGATTGGGTTCTCGCCCCAACAATATTGCCAAGCCTCAACACTTCTGCACCCCTGTCAACTCTGAGGGCGAGCAGGGGTTGGCCGCACCTCAGTTGTTGGGGTTCTTGGTGGGGTTGAGCGGGAAAAATGTCAATAGTCACTTCCGCGTACCGAGACTTTTTGATTTGCTTGGGGGAGCTCCCGCCTGTCTGCGTTCGGGAACATGGATCGAAAAAAATTAGCTGCTAATCAATCAGAAAAATAAAAAAAAGTCGCCGGAAAATATTGTTCATGCTTCAACAGGCGTTGAAGCGTCAGATTGATTGATTGACCGGAACTTGAAGGGACAGGCTGGCATGAACTGGGCCATCTGCCATCACAGCACGAACCAATTGATATTATATCGGGCACCTCCTATCTTCATCACTGGAATCCGGTCCCTCAGCAGACGCAGGGAGGAAATCGGAGAGCTCCAGCCGATGCAGGGAGAAGAGAACCAGAAAGCGCAAGGCCTACTCAAAGCTCTCGCAGATGACGAACTGGGCTCAGTAAGCTCGCTCGCAAGTAGTGTTGATTGGAGCGATTCGAGCCTTACAACTGTACCCCTACATGTCTCTACTTGTACCTGAACACGTCGTCCGGATCTAAATCTTAGTGAACCTTTCCACCATCGCACCAATCGTTAAGCTCGGAAGCGCTGCGTCATCCTGTTTCTAGGCTCTAGTCCATGGTGTCCCAGCAGTAAGGTACGACGGATTATTGAGTAAAAGCAAGAATTATTCCCAGCGCCACATGTAAACTACGAAACACGAAAAGAGGCTAGAGCACATGTTCACGTCCAAAGAGAGCAGTTCAACAACTTCTGAAAGAAAGAGATCAATCTGATCTAGCCTCCTCGGCTCCCCGTGTCCCGGTTGGGGAATAAATCTGACCACTTGCCTCAACTTCCAAGCTCCGGATCTTTCTCGAGGCTACTGCGAGAATCCCTGAGTACTCTAACCAAACAGCTCTCCCGTATTTGACAATGATCTCCCATCAAGCCACAAAATTCCACTTGCTTGTCATGCGGATGCGCCCATAATATGAGTCTTCGTAAATCGCATGTTTTATCTGGACGAGAAGGAAAGAACCAAGGACAGAGACGGGGGCAATCAATTTGTGGAGTGTACGAAGTAGTGTAGTTGCACATTGATCCAGTCAACAACCAGGCATATCTGGGATCATCAGTGCAAGTTCCTTTTTTTTTTCTTTTTTTTTTCTGCGGATTGGCCATTGGTCCTGGGCATTTTTGTTTGTTGAACAGCCACTGGCTGCATACCTGCAAATGCCGAGCATCAACGGCTTTAGCTCCGAACCTGTTGTGCTCCGACAAGCCACCTCGGTGTAACGGAATCGAGAGCCGTCCAGATCCAGCGTTGCCCCAACTCTTATTCTTCTTGAGCCAACCACGGCTGCTTACGTACTTTGCATGCCGTTTCCCCCGTAGCACACGACACACTTCACTGAGTCTTCCAGAACGCTCACCCAGTTCAATGTTCCCAAATCAGCCCCCAAGCCGAAACCCCACAATACCCACACTCACCAGGAAATCCCCGGACAACACGGACCCGAACCTCTCCAGTTCTGCCGATGGCGCCGTTCCCGCCCCAGGTCTCCCTGTGCTATAAGTGACGATCAACCTCCCCAAAAAGAATTCCCACAGTAAAAAGAACCCCAACGCATATCCAAAAACCGTATGCTGCGGATTTTGTCGCACCACCTCTCTTGCTCATCATATTCACCGTCCTTTCTATTTCGGTGAGAATGCGCACATGAGATGATCTTATCCTGCCGCCCCTCGAAATAGGCTCTCCAACAGCCCAAGATCGCCAAATGAACAAGACAACAGCTATCACAGTTTTCTTTGCCTTCTCTCAAAAACTTGGCACACGTCCCGCAAGCAAGGGGGCGGGTCTTCCCGGGTCTTGGCCTTAGCAGGGATGTTCACATCTCCCCCAGGCTGATGGGGGACGGGATATTGAACCAGTCCCGTGTTGAGAGAATCTCTGCTACGAATACTGCCTGTGGGAACCCTCCACCACCCTCTCAACACGAGCGATAGCAAAGAGATCATATGACGGGAAAAAGAATCCAAGAGTTATGTATTTTCTAACCAGCTGCGGTATCTCTACCAGCAAACTCCCTATACTAACTTTGATATCAAGTTCCCAAGCCGCCATGTGGCTTTTTTCTTTCTTTCTTTTTTTTGTCTTTTTTGGGGGCCCGTATCCTTGTTGGAAGGCTACTCAGGCTCCTAGTTTCCCCCTCCCCCTAAGAAGCGATAAGCGAACACAAGAGACTGGTGGTCCGCCCCTAGGTATTATCAGAAATCCGACATATGATATCCTGAATAACCCGTACGCCCGGCTATACACCATAAGAATTCCCAAAGGGGAAAAAAAAATTCGTAAGTCGGAATTAGAGACTCGTGTGAGAGAGAAGAGTGTTGATGATGTTGAAAGACAAAGGGAAGATAAGAAGTGTATGCCGCCCGCCGCTCCTCGTTTTCCGTACATTATGTATACTGAAATCATGTCAGGATGCTGTGCTGCATTACTTCGTGTTTTTTCTTAAGTATCGTAAATCCGTAAATGTCGTCGCGATAGTTATCTTAGCCGTCCTTGACGTCCACGACAGCTGAGACTGGAATCTCTTCCAGGCCTTGCATTGTCGTCGACATACCGGGAGGCGTAAATACTAGGTCACGGTCGTCCAGCGACGTTGGGAACCCAGACATGTCGCGTACGGCATGCCGGTCTGCGCCAACGCCTTCAAGGATTAAGAGTACTTCTTCCTCCGAGCTCCTGCACGGGAGAGTCTGGATCTGAATGCTGCGCTGAGATACCTCCTTGTCATGGGACGAATGTTGCGTCGGAGCTTTTGCGGCCAGAGTATCGGTATCGGTATTGACGCCGTTTCTCACGCCGCTCTCATCATCATCTGCTGAGATGACCGCCGCCGCTTCTCTCCCATGAACCTTGGGTGGCTCTCCCGGTTCTGTTAGACCCGCTGATTCACCAGACTTCTCGTGCATGTCGGATTCTGAGGCCGTCGTCATCTCCTTCGTTCCGCTGTCAATCTGTCCCTTGGGTTCTGTGATCCCCGCCACCGACAAGATCCCCAGCCCGTTGGCGAGGATTTGCCCACCTTCCATATCGTCGACATGTTCGGTTGGTCCTGCCTCAACGTCCCGATTTACCGCGTTGGCAGGATCCGTATTGGTCGTTTCTTGCACATCGATGGTTGCATCAGCTGCATCATCTTTGTTCCGAGCTTCAAGCACGATAAATTTCTGCTGGGGAGTTGATCCATCATCGTCGGCATCCCCAGTATCCACCACCCGTGGGCTAGTTGCCTCCTTCTCCCTTTCTTCCTTTTCCACTTCTCCGCCCCTTTCGCTGCCTGCATATTCATCCATGTCGCGCGCCACTAAAGATTCTGCACACGCGTCTGATAGTTTGCTCATTTCATCCTCTTTACGAGCCAAGTCTATTGACTGGGCGTCCTCGGCATTCGCATCCCACCCGGCATCATCGCTGTATGACGCGACGTTTGCCGATCGACTGCGCGAGCGAGAGTCACCGCCATGAGCCCTGTGCATGTCGTACTGCCCGAAGTTACTCGGCAGCGGGCTTGGTGGCGATCGTCCGCGAGGCGGGTAGCCATAGGGCGCATCGTAGCCGGCAAAACTTGCGTCGTCGGGGTGCATGAAGCTCGTGTAAGTCCACCGGTCCGACGGGGATACCGCCCGGATCTCGGGAATTCCGTTTGTGCGCGCTCCCTCCGAAGGATACCCGTTTCGAAGATGACTACCGTACTGAGAGGGTGATCGTGCCATATGTCGCACACTCCCGCTAGACAGTCCTGAAGGAAATAGACAGAGAAGAGATGCAGCCTGGAGTCTCATCCGAGGTTCGTCGCTAAGGCAGATCTCGACGAGCCTTCGGTACCATGAAGGAACATCCACGTCCGGTTCAAGGGCCAGCCTGGGACCGTACTTTTCAGGTTCATCGTCCTCCATGGCAAGAGCCCATAGCACCATGCCAAGTTGGTACAGATCCGACTTGACACCGATATACATCGAGATCCCCTGACTGCTCTTCAGAAGCGGTCTAGCCTCGGGAGGCTCCCATCCAACCGGACAGCCGCGCCTGTTAATGTCGATAATCTTGGCATTTCCCCCGCTGTCAATGACAATGTTTGAGAGGGTAAAGTCTCCCTGAACAAAACCAGATTCGTGAATATCAGCGAGCCCCTGGACTACTTGCTTCGCCCACGTCGCTCGGGTTGTGAAGGGCAATCTCGGGAGCCCTTGTTCGTTATTGGGTCGATGGTCGTAGAGAATGTCCATCAGAGAGCCGCGTTCGGCGTAGCTAATCAGCAGACCTTTCACATGCTCATCCTTGTTATCCACCACGACGCCAAAGAAGGTGATAACGCTGCTCGAGTACTGCAGTGAGTACAGTGCGTTAATCTCGTAGATAAATTCGTTGATCGTATCGGGTCCCGGAATTTCCTTTTTAATAAGTACTTGTCCACCTACGTGGACCTTGTAGACAAAGCCCGACATGTGTGAGTCGAAAGCGATGTCTCGTTCGCGGATCCGACGGCAGCGGAGGTGCTGAACCTCGCGCACAGGCGGATATGAGATGATCTCCTATTTACTCGGTTAGTACCTCCATCTCCGCATAAAATGTGGCGGCCATGCGAGTGCATCATAAGTTTGCACCCTAGTAACAGGAGAGAAGATAGAAAGAAAGGGGAATGAAAAGGGAAGGAAAGAGAGAGGCAACAAACATTGAGATCCTCGGCGACATGCACGTGTAACCTGCCATCCGTGGTCTGGAGCTTCAAGTTCGTGACGGTATCGTAGAAGCGAATAGCGCTGAGACTGTCTCGAATTGCTTCGTAGATTTTGGCACTCTTGTCGCGTTGGAACTTGGTCTTCGTCAGCTCCATCTCAAGAGAGTCTTCGGGAGCTTTCCTGTAGTCCAAGGATATTGTAACGCGTCGCCAAACAACTTCAGTCTCGCATTGCTCGCGGTAGGTCACAAAGAACTTTTCGCGGTTCGACTTGTCCCTGAAATGCATACTAAGGTTCAATATCCAAGTAGTCTCGAGCTCCTCTTGGATCTGAGAGGCGGTAATCGATTCTGTTTCGTGAGCCCAGGGGTCTTGGGATTTTTCATCATTCTCTTCGAACTCCGGATTAGGATCCAGATCGATATTCGGATCGGTTTGACTTTCAACATCAAGGCGGCAGAACTCCTCAGCACTATCGCTCTGCCACCCCGAGTCATGTGGATTGACTACTTCGGAGGTCGAGAAGTCTTGAGAGCAGCGCGGTGGTTCCAGGAAGTCTGGGGCGCTCGACCGTGGAAGTGTTTCGGTGGCTGTTCTAGATATTCTAGATGTTGTGCGCGAGAGCACGGCGCGCCTATCGACAGAGAGAGCCCTTCGTTCTGCAGGCGTGGGTTGCACAGGTGCGAGATTGGTCCGTTTTTCGGACTGTTGCCTCTTGAATGTTTGCATTCTCGGTAGGCCCGGTACGACTTTCCTCGACACCCGCCGAATTAAACCAGTCCTCTGGGGAGCATCATCTTCGGACTTCTTCGGATCTGACGAGGTCGCAGTTGTGTTGTTGCCGTAGCCGAAGAGTAGTCTGCGAAGGAAATTGGTAGTCCCCGGAGGGGGCGTGGAGCTTGGGATATCTGTTTGGGCCATTTGGGGCCGAGGATACGGCTGTTGACGGGAAAAGAGTCGTCGCCGTTCCTTAAGGCGGGCAGTGAATAAGACACACACCTTGGCGATGGGGTTTTTTTTCACTAAGGTAAAGGAGTTGGAGAGCTAGTCGGACCAGCTCTCACCTTCTCGGGGAGCTCTAGCTAGGTTAAGACTATCGAAGAAGGACGCCGCGAGTTGGCGATCGGGAGATATTCTTCAACTCTTGGGACTCGACCCCCTCTTCGCTAGCATAAGGCTGGGTTCACAACCGCTGATTAGGTGGGCGGGAAGCGTCCGATAGTGCCCGTCCGGAGAATAGGAGTTGGGGAAATGGTATGTCGGTGATACGAGATTCCGCTAACAAGACTATGAAGACTTGGCTGGCGGAGCACTGGGCCGTTATGTGATATGGGGTACAGAGAGGGACAGCTTGCATGTTAAAACTGGGTATTAATGCAAAGATGAATGGTTGACCGCTGGGTGAGTGTTTTCGATGATTCTGAACAAGGGGGCTGTGGCACCGGACTCAGATAGAGACCTGAGGCTCTTCAAGTTCAGGAAAGTCGGGTTCGCAATGCGGTCCCGTCCTTGCCAAATATCCGAGGTTCTCGTTCCAGAGAACTGACGGGACAGCCGGGACTACGGAATAGAAACCGTAGAAGAAGAAAAGAAACAAGTAAAGTGGAATGGCCAAATGCCTGGGATCTTGAGAAGTGCGTATGCGTTCTGAGTGGATGGGATTCGTGTGTATGGCTCATGTGTTGCGCGTGTATGACAGCTTTATAGATGGGTTTAGAGAGGGTAGAAGGGAGAGCCAACAGGCCAATGGTTCCTCTCACGGAGCCCAAGTTCATGTAACCAGCCGTCCAGTTTCGTGTGACAATGGAGTAGAAGGGTGGGAGGGCTAGGGCGAGACAAGGCGTTTGAGTATCGGGTGAGGCAACTCAAAGTAGACATTACATCGAGGCAATTAGAGACATGATTAGACGAGAGACGACGACGTGGGATTTGCGCGAAAGAAAAGACGGGGAAAGTTGGAATGGGATCAATCGATAATTGACGGGAATTTTCTCTCCCCTTCAGTGGGCGGTGTATGGAAGGATGCGAGCTGTGCTATTTGCGCCCAATAAGCCGCCTCATTTCGTTAAAAAGGGACGTCGACCAGTCAATACTCGAGGGGGGACGAGGTTACGGTCGACCAAGACGGTCAATTGACGTTATGAAAGTGACAGCACGGAGAAGCTAAACTAGACTTCAGCGGGAAAGGGGAGAGTGGAAGAAGAGATGGTGGAGTGGGTATAAAGCTGGACAGGATGACAATGGAGCAATGAGCAACGAAGGCTTGCAAGTCGGGTGCAAATTAAGAGAGAGATTGGGAGATCGGGCCTGAGCCGCAAAGAGGCGTCCGGGGTTAGGGCGCGGGTGGAGGGATTGGCCAGCGTTGTCTCGTAATCATGCCAACTATTTATTTGATTCGACCTTCATTTTTTTCACTATTGATTCTTCTCCCAGTGAATACTTTGCAGGCGTCACCAGGGGGTGTATGTGGGGGTGAAGAGGGAGAGGGAGAGGGAGAGAATAGCAAGGTACTTCACGAAGGGAGAAGAGAAGGGGCGAGGAATCAGGAGGTAAGACACGAGGGGACTAGAGTGAAAAATTGCGGTGGTTGATTGATGAGTTGTCAGGTCGAGCTTCCTGCTTCCTGCTTCCTGCCTTCCCTGTCTGGGCTGCTAGCTGCAGCGCTGCAGGGTGCAGGGTGCAGGGTGCAGGAGTCTACATCAGCGGAGCATGTGCTCGACAGCAGTTGATGTTACAATGTACCAGACGATGGACGATGTATGCGTAGGACGCGATGTACGATGTACGATGTACAGAAGAGCCATCGTCAAGGTGCAGGGAAAATGGCCTGCGAGAAGTGTACCCCATCTGCGAGATTTACATAAGTTTACATGTACAAGTAGGGAGGGCACTACGCCATGTGAGAATCTACAAGTCCAGAGGCTGAAGGATGCACTCCTCGCCCCTTCTTTTCCCGAAGCCATGGGGCCATGTGCAGTTGCCTCTTTCCTTGCTGACGTACAGACCAGCAAGTAGAGGAGCAAGTCAATCGTCATGTACTTGGTTGGTGTTGTCATATCGTGCCTGCCATTCGACGTCTGCTCAAGCTCCCTGTCTCTAGTTCGTTCGTACTTCGTAAAACCAGAATAGCTCCCCGTCTGCAGCCAAGTGAGAAAAGAGCGATTAATCAGATTCGGAAGGAACAATGAAACGACGTTTTCTTCTCCGTGCGTTGCGCGGTTTCCTGCATTTCAATATTCCCTGTCCAAATGAGCTCGAAATCCAGCTCCAACTCCAAAGTAAGACCTACACATGTTCTGTAGCTGAAATCTGAGTTTCTATCTATCAAACACTGCCATGCAACTGCACCATTCCCTCGTGTGGTTCTGGGACTCCTGTTTCGTCGGCTGTGTCGTCTCCACGATTTGTTGGTGGCACTGAACCTGCGGGAGAATAACATCGGAAGACTCATCATCTCCGTTCCGGTTCGCAGCGTCTTGGGTCTACAGAGCACCAGCCGAAGCCTGACTTGACGACGATGATGTGAGATCAATTGAAACCCAATGGGAGAAACTAGTTTATTTTCCACCGACAGAAGCACAAGGACGGGTGGCGTTCATCCCGTAAAGTGAAGTCTCAATGGACCATTCGACAGTACCGTCTCTACGAACCTACGAGAATGAGTACTCGGTGTTTGTTATAGGACACATCCCGTCTCACAGCACGAAGTAAACTACGAAGTAATAGCGGCTAGAGCGGGAGCTAATGGCGTCGAGTCGTCGAAACTCAGGAACCCCCCGAACCACCCCACATTTCCCGTCCCTCCTCTCGATAGGCGGTGCGCGCTATAGATCGACGATCCGTTGTCGCTCCATCATCAGAGCCCCGTTTACGACTGCACTGCAATCCAGCGTCGAGCATGCTGGTGATTGTTTTCACTACTTCTCGGCCTCGGACAGCTTGTGTATGATAGGGAGAGATCTTAAACCTCGTTCTCTTTGAGAAACTACCTCATATACCTACACCTCGGTATGCTCAATATTCCTTGTCGGTTACTGCTTTGACCTTGGCTCTTTCATCACCGCCTTTTGCTATGCCAGGAACCCAACCATCCCTAGCTCCACAACCCAAACAAAACGGCCCCCGTCCGGGACACTACTTTGCTCATGCTATATATAATACGACCACCTACGACTCCTGGAACCGTTGATCTATCAGTCTGGATTTTTCTCAGGGATAGACGGCAGATATCCAAGCCCCCGTCTGGACCCTGCCGAGCTTTCTCACAACGACCCCACCTTTGCAGGGCTGTCCGTTTTGACATCATCACGGGTCCTTGGTCGCAGATCCAGCCTATCCCACGGGTAGGGTAGATTCCCATCAAATGCAGGAGCTGTTTCGGTACTCAACAATGCCTCCTCCTCTCCGACATTCGGCCTGTCTTGGTGGCCCATCGAGGGGAAAAAACAATATGGGCACCCAACCTGTGAATTGGCCTGAATTGATGTTTGTGCCTGACCCAGACAACTCCGAGCCCGCCCAGAGGGTTCATCCCCCTCCCCCACCTCTCCCCCAGGATTAATCCATGCTCCAAGCACCCAGAGGCTCGGTTCTCAAAGGTAGGCATGCCGGTATCAACGAAACAAACCCTACCAATTCGATTTTGGTGCTCCCACCCATCGGTAGGTCGGCTTCGCCCATGCTCTCGAAGCTCCTGTCAGTTATCCCACACAAGAGCCCCGCGGGTCTCCCATTCGTGTGGGATTCACGATGCAGACTGCCTAAAAAAGGAATCCCTTCTCGGAATATTGTATTACGAGGAGTGTCCACGAGGTGCTATAACCGTACGCCCCCCTCATACCTTTACCGTCTTGGGTTTCCTTCAGGCATGGGCACAGGCCGCTAGTCCACACTTGGGGCTGCCGCTCTGCGACTGGCGCAGCATTCTTCATCTGCACCGCCTATTCGACCTTCACATCCCTTTTGTTGCCCTTTTGTTGGCCAATCGACGGAACCTGGGGCGCCTGTTGGTAAAAAGAGAGAGAAAAAAAAAAGGAGGAGGGTAGGTCACCCAGAATCCTACTCTACTCTAAAGTAACGGTCAGTGCAGCGTTCTCAGCGGGTTGCCCGAGATCATCACCAAAGACGAAGCAGGTAGGCGAAATGCCAGCTAAGAGATTTGTGGCCTGTCCCTGCTCCGATGCCCCATTTCGTCGACTGATTCCAGCGAGTACCCTCCCTCATCACGCTACATTAGACCATCCTTACGGATGCGTGATATCTCTCATAAAAGTCCCGTGCCCTCCAATCCAAAAAGGATTCAAAACCGGATTGTGGATTTTGCTCATCGGTCTAGCATTAGCACCGGCTCAGTGGCACACACCCCAAATGGAAAAATAGGACAGACAGAAAGGAAGAACAATACGGCGGACCGAAGAGTCCGGGTCAAACACCCCCCAAAAAGGCCTGATCTCCCCTAACCCTCTCTTGGAGCTTGAGCCAACACCAATCCCAGGACCCCACGTCAGCAAACCACCAATTTCCCAATCTCATCATAACACTCCGCGACTGATTTCCTAGATTGGTAGCTTGTTAAAATGTCGTCCCCAACCGACGTTGCAGCCCTATGCCCGAGTGATTAGGCAGGAAGATTTTCGGAAGCCACTCTGGCTTCATTTAATCACTCCATACGATCTGTGCTTCGTAATTGTTTTATTTTGTGCTGGAAGGGGAAACGAGGGTGACGTGGGCCGGACGGAGCGTAGAAGTGGCAATGACCGTCCGTATCTTACGGAGTATTACACGCAGGCTTGGGAGTGAAATGGGAAAAGGGGTGCAGCACGGGTCCTTGCATCCCAGCCTGAGGCGAGGATTCCGAGATGCATCGTCAATCTTGTTTCTCTCTGTTGTGTCCTTCACTTTTTGGCATCCGCTTTTGGCATCCACTGCGCGGCTCTCCATGCTTTGGGGAGGAAGATCGAAGAGCCGCCAACAGATCAGCGCTCTCTGAAGAGCCCTAACACATTTGGGAGAAAATACAAGTCACAGATCGAAGAATCACCTTGCCAAGTCTCAAAGGGCACAAAATCCAATGCTCATCGCGTCATCTATTCTGTATTGTACAAGGTCTTTCCGCCGCTTTCCTCCTCCTATCTTTCTAAACCTTCCAAATGTATGTGTACGTTATGATATACAAAAATATATAACGTCGCTCAGGAGTGAGGTATTATCTGTTCAACGTGCAAGAAAAAGAAGAAAAAAACAGAAGAAAATAAAACAACAGGAAGGGAGGAGTATGGAAGAAGATGGAAACAAACCAAGGCTGCGTGTTACCGCTGCCCTGCTGTGATGAAGAAGGGACGGGAAACCATGAGGCTTCTTCACTTCTCATCCCTCAAACGCCCCCTACCACTCAATTTTGTCCACCCTCCCCTGTTTCAACAGCCTCCCTTTTTGGAGACAACGAAAGTGCAGGTTCGGGCGAGGCAACAAGTGGCTGTTCTTTTTTCGGTGAGCCCTGAGATAGGGCGGAAAGGGAAGATGTTGCAAAGACATTACCGCGCAAGAAGCAAACGCCGGCGGAAAATCAACAACGCTGTCTACCATTTTCCCAGATGACGTGAAAAAGTGCAAAAAATGCAAACCAAACGGGGCGTGGGCACCGTAGGTAGAGACCTCTTTTCATCAGTCTTCTTCCTCCGCCTCGTCCTTCTTGTTCTTCTTCTTCTCCCGCGCCCACTCGCAAATCTTACAGGTATTGGCCAACTCCTTGTCGATGTTGGGGAAGACGAGATCAAAGACCTCTGAGTACCAGCCGACGGGCTTGCCTTCGATACCTTCCTTGATGTTCTGCGAAAAGAGATGAGTCATTAGTAAAAGGAACACCTTATTGTAAGATAGAAGAAAGACATGAATAAAATAAAACTTACCTCCGGAAGCTCAAGCCAGTCCGAGAGGTTGTCCTTAGGGAAGATAACCATCTTGCATCCAGCACGGCGCGCGGCAACAGTCTTTTCCCTCAGGCCGCCGATGCGAAGAACCTTACCCGTCAGGGTCAGCTCACCCGTCATGGCGATGGTCGGGACTATCGGCTCGTTGAGCGCGAGGGAGAGGAGGGAAGTAGCCATGGTGATACCCGCGGAAGGACCGTCCTTGCGCACCGCACCCTCGGGGACGTGCAGATGCACCTTGGCCTTCTGGAAGAAGTGGTTGTCGGGGAACTCCTTCACCATGAAGGACTTGGCGAAGGAGTAGGCGATCGAGGAGGATTCCTTCATGACGTTCTTGAGGTTGCCGGTGATCTCTAGGTCCGGTCGCGTGTGGGGCCTCAGGGGCGTTTGCAGGATGGACTCGACGTACATGGCAGCTCCGCCGAGCTGCGTCCAGGCGAGGCCCATGGAAACGCCTGGTGGGCTGATGTCGTAGAGCCTGTCGGAGGTGAAGATGGGGGGTCCGATGTACTCGGAGAGCCCATCAGCTCCAATGGATACATGCACGGTGTCGGGAACCTTGAGTGCACGAGGGGCTTCCGCAGTCTTGGCGGTTCCTTCTTCCTCCGGTGCCGAGGAGGTCGACGACGCGGATTCGTCCGACTCTTGAGAGGACTGGGAAGTTTCAGATGCGGTCTCGCTCGCGGCCGTGTCCTCCGACGAGGTTTCAGCAGCGGCAGAAGCACCCTCAGGTTGGGCTTCCTCAAGTTGGCTCTCAGGGATATCTTGGACAATCTTGAGAGCAGCTTTCCTGTAAACTTTCTCAATTTGCTTCTTGAGATTCCGCACACCCGACTCGCGGCAATAAGACTTGATAAGTTCGTGAATCGCATCGTCCGTAAGCTGAACATCAGCTTCCTTCAAACCTGCCGCCTCCTTGGCGGCAGGCGCGAGGTATCGCTGGGCAATGGCCATCTTCTCATCTGCCACGTAGCCCGACAGAGTAATAAGCTCCATTCGGTCGAGTAGCGGCCTGGGGATAGTATCGGTCATGTTGGCGGTACAGACGAAGAGGACCTTCGACAGATCAACGGGTACGTCCATGTAGTGATCAAGGAAAGAGCCGTTCTGTTCGGGGTCGAGAAGTTCCAAGAGAGCGGACGAAGGGTCACCTTGGTATCCACGTCCGATCTTGTCCACTTCGTCGATGAGAATGAGCGGGTTCTCAGTCTGGCATTTCTTCAGAGCCTGGATTACACGGCCAGGAAGAGCGCCTACATAGGTCCGGCGATGGCCCTTGATTTCCGCGACATCAGTGAGGCCGCCGACACTGAACCGGTAGTACTCTCGGTTGAGGGCCCTGGCGATCGACTTGCCGATACTGGTCTTTCCGACACCAGGAGGGCCGACGAAACATAGGATCTTGCCTTCAACCGTGCCCCGCAGCTTGCCGACTGCAATAAATTCCAATATGCGGTCCTTGACATCCTTGAGGCCGTAATGATCCTCGTCCAGAACCGTCCTCGCGTGCTTAATTCCGAAATTCTCGACGCTCCGTTGGCCCCAGGGGATCTGAGTGAGCCAGTCTAAATAGTTCCTGGTCACGTTGAACTCAGACGCCGCTGTTTCCAAGTGTGCCAGCTTGTTAATTTCTTCGTCAAACACCTTGCGAACTGCCTCGGGCATTGCGAGCTTGCGTGCCCGCTCCTTGAACTTCTCGATGAGCTTGTCCTTGCCGTCGGTCTCGAGGCCAAGCTCACGTCGAATACCCTTCATCTGCTCCATCAGCCAGTATTCGCGCTGACGTTTCGTAATCTTGTTTTCGACATCCTTGCTGATCTTCGACTGAAGCTGAGCGTTCATAAGCTCCTTTTTCAGAAGGGTAAGAGCCTTGTGCATGCGATCTTCTACGTCCAAGCTGGCCAGGATCTCCTGCAACTCGGCAGTCTCGCCAGAAGAAACAGCAGCCGCGAAATCAGCAAGTTTCGCCGGGTCAGCCGTGACGTTTCCGGTCTGGCTCATGGAGAAGGTAGATATTTGGTCCCTAAACAGGTTGTTGATGGACGCCACCTCCTTAAAGACATTGACGATTTCGTTCGTAACGGCGCGGACAAAGGGGCTCTTCGGGTCGTAGGGCTCTTCGCTGAGGTTCTCAACATTGACAAGACTAACGGGGTATTTCTTCAGGAAGCTGGTCGGTTCGTAAGGCTGGTTAGGGTCGGGTTTGGGAATAATTGCCGACTCTTCGAAGCTTGCAACGACATCGCCCTTTGGTTCTTCAGTCTCCGCCTGCTTCTGGGGGATGGGTTCGGGGACTGTTGTGGCGGCGGTGCCATCGGCCTTCTTTGCATCGGTCGTGGTAGTCGGGGGGATTAAGCTAGATAGGCGAATGCGGCGGTGAGGGTAAAGAATCGCTGTAATTCCACCGTCTTGGCCATGAATGGGGAAAGCACTTGTGATTTGCGCAAACACACCGACATCGTACACATCATCCACATTCCGTATTACATCATCGTCCTTCGCTTCGTCCTTGAAGAGGAAAGTGCCAACGTAAGGCTGGCCTCGTTTGATCATCTCGGTGATGGCATTGGCCACATGGGGGTCCTTAACCGTTATCGCCTTATAAAAGCCGGGGAACAGGGGCCTCTTGGTAATCGGGAGGGCTAGGACTTGAGGATAGACATCGGGAACGACGGGCTTCTGTAGACCCCTCTCTCCTCCTTTCTTCCCCTTCTTGCCGCCACCATCCCCGGAGCCATCGCCTGTCGAGCCGCTACCGGAGCTTCCGGCAGAGGAAGATTTGCCATCCTTGGGTCCATTCTCATTCTTGGTAGAAGCTGCTAGCTCATCATCTTTGGATGATTTTGATTTTTTGGTCTCTTGGGCAGTCGACTCCTCGGCTGCTTTCGACTCGTCAGGCTTCACCTGGCCTTCGTCTTCATTGGCAGGCTCGACGGACTTGTCGAAGAAATCGCGGTCACCATCTTTGTCACCCTTCCGCCTAGCCGAGCTTGTGGAAAAGGCAGCCAGTTGTTGGGCGTGGGCATAAGTATGGGGGGAATTGAGCACAAAGCCCGAGGACCTCGGGTTCGCTCGCGTCAGTAATCGCGTCGCGTGGGCTCTCGATATTCGGGCCTGTGGGTAGACGATGGATTGTCTTAGGCATTGCCGAGATAATTGTGATCGCATGAGCATCTTGCTAGCTTCTGGCCGGTGACAGCCGCCGAAGAGGCGAGACCAAGCCGAGTAATTAATTCAAACGCGCTTTCGAACAAGATTAGGCCGGTAGGGAGAGCTCTAGGAGATGGGACGGATGGAGATAAAAGTAGTAAAGGACAAAAGGTATAAGTGGCCCAGCTCAAGACTGGTTAAAACCACCCGGTATCATCTAAGATCGTGATTTATAAGAAGTCGGTAGTGGAGTTGATTTTTTTCTCCACTGAACCTCATAGAAACATTTTAGCAACCAGTGATGATGTCGTAAGCATGGTAGCTTCCTCCGAAATGCGGCTCGATTTCGGAATATCATCGGCAAACACACCCTACGCGTCACAACGCGGCGGCTAAACCGAAAGCCGCCAGGACTCGAAGCTTATAATTGTATGCCTTGCGATTGCCATTATTTTGGCAGCCTTCCTGGACGCCAAACGTCCGATCTATCAATGCGCATTGTATCGATTTCCCATTGCTAATTGATAAATTGGGAAACCCAGGCAATCCTGTTTCCGTTTGGGTGTTAGCCGAAGTCTTCATTGGGCCCAACCGAATAGCTTAGTCATCAAACTTGGCGACTGCATTGCGTCAAAGTTGGATCGGATCATCACTCACATTAAAATGCAGTAGCATGAGCTCAACTCTTCATATCACCTCCTCTTGTTCCCTCTCTTGACTCCGAAAGGAATCGCAATGGAGTCACAAAATTGCGGAACTCGAAGCGTGGGCCTCTGATTGTCTTGAAAGCTCTTTTTCGAAAACTAGAAGATAAATCCTGTTTCTTCCTAGAAATCTACAAGTACCTTCCAAACGAGAACGGATAACCAAAAATATGATAAGCCTTTGGCCCACTCTCCTACTTTGACCCAGGTATCTTCGTATACGTGTAGTGTAGCCTGAACATTTCAACCACACCTTCATCTAACACTGATCAGATAGTGTCTCTTTTCGGGACTTGGTTTATTCGGATCTATCCGTAGCTGGCAGCCCGGAGTCTTGGTTCAACAGCCTAAGAACTTCCCAAGTTAGCAGGTTCAAAGACAGCACGCAAGAGGACGCACTGGAGATCTAGCGCTCGAGACAGACACCATACCGAGCATTATCGAACATCACATTAACTTCCTTAGGCCGTTGAAAGGTGCTATTCCAGTAAAGCGCAAAACCTGAAATCACTTACAGTGTCAGGGGTCTAACTCGCCTCGTAATATATATATGTCCATCTCAGAGGTTAACTCTCATCACAAAATCTGCATCCTGCATCTGCCAATCATCAATCATTGCTGGACATCAATCACACTTCGTACACTACATCAGGGAGCTCTGAAATAAGCGTCGTCGTCCATGTCGCTCAGCATTGCGGGGAAGCGAGAACCCCGGCGGGAAGGTTGCGAGTTAGTGAAAGGGGCCATGCCTCCCCACTTCCTAACCTCACCTGAACCACCATTGAACTTGGACGGGATGCCAGAAACGGGACTTAGAGAAGGATCTATTGACCACGAACCATTATTACCGCCTCTGCCCGTTACGTTTCTCATAGGCGCAATCTATTTAAATCCACTCAACTCACAGTCAACAAGTTCGCTTCCAAGTCTCGAGGGAAGTGGTATTAAAAGCCCCGCATTACCTTCAAAAGAGCTGTGTTCTTTGAAGCCTTTCTCAATCATTTCCCCGCGCATCGTAGTACTTACACCCCGCCTCGAACTAGACCGTCCCTTTGTGCCAGCTTAGGGACTTAAAAATTCCTGATCTAGCACTCTCATGCCCACCACCACCTTTGCAACCGCAGATCCAGCCTCCATTGCTTTTTACAGTGCATCATTCTGATACATTCGCTATCCATCTTTCCGTCGACACCCACTTAATCGATCATTTCCGAGGTTACCGGCTCCAGCTATGTCAGCCGCCAAGCCAAAGAAGGATGTAGCCTCATCCCTATCGAATCTCTCGCTCGGCAACACAAAAACTACGAAAACCAAATCGAAGAAGAATGTCGTCGTCGACTCCTGGGAGGACGAAGACCTCTCCTCCAGCTCAGACGAGGAGAACAGAGGCGGCGATTCCAAGAGGAACACCTCATTGCCGTCGGCTCCACCTCCGACTCCTATCACGCCATCCTATAACAGCCAGACGGATACAACCTTTGTGCCAGATTTTTCATCGGGGAACTACGTGCCCATGTCACCCGGGCTGACGGAGGCCAGGAGACCTGAGAAGACGGATGCTGTTGCTAGGAGGATGATTGCTGGTGCTCTAGGCATGAAGGCACCGAAGCAGACGGAAGAGCAAAAGGCATATGACAGGGCTATCAAGGAACAGGCAAGGAGGAAGAAGGAGGAGGAGAGGGCTGCCGAAAGGAAACGTCAGGAGGAGGTCGAGAAGGCCAAAGCAGCCATGTGGGGAGATTAGAGAGACAGAGATGTGTGAGATGGTCTTTCCCATGTGCATTTTCGAGTTTACGCAAACGCGGGGTTTGGCCCAAGCTTACACGGGAAATCGTCAGACCAAACGGGAACTGTTACTTTTGGAGTTATAGGCTCTTGGATGGATGCATTTTACGTCTACCAATTACTTCTCTCGCTCGTTGATAGAGAATTTAGAGATGTCAATGATGTTGCTCAACCTGTACGGATCGGGAAACCCGGGCTGTCAGATCTATGGATATAGGATACACTGTGGATGTCAAGGTGTCCGTGTCTCTAGGCTCGCATATCCAAGTCCAGAGCGGGAGCACGACCCATGGCCTAATTAATATGGGAGACGAACCTAGCGAACGTGACCAAGGTCGGAAATTATATACATGCTGGAGGAACGAGGTGGTAAATTAATGAGGAGTTCACGAATGAAACGGGATGCTACATGAACCAGCAAGGTGTTGTTGGTTCGGACGGCTTGATATTGTCTGAGCTGTCTGGCCTGTCTGGATGTGGGGCATTGAAAGACGTGTCGACTGGTGAGAGCAGCCAAGCCCAGCGCTACTCCAGTGAACAGACACCCTAGGCACCCCACGAAGTCTAAATTCCCGCCTACCCTGGTCGGTTCCCAGGCGATCAATCTCGGCCCGCGTTATTGGTCCTTTGAGGGAACAGCTCGCCAAATTTTATTTCATCGGGATTGATCTTTCTCATCATCAACAGAGCGGAAAAACTCATTCCTGCAACGCCTCCATGAAGCCGTCATATATCTGGATCCACAGAATTGGCAGGTCTTGCCGTGTCCCATCGAGAAGAGCGTACTCAAGTATACCGCACCAAAATTCCTTTCTCCCAGACGCCCCAACAAGCTCTCACAACGACTTGGGTTCGTTTCTCAAATATGCCCAGAAATCAGGCCTCAACCCCAAATCCACAGTTTATGTCGGTACCCACTACGAGTATACGGTAGCGGGTAGTCTCGCTCAGTACGGATTTTCACTGAAACGCGTCGGTGGCGCCTCAGACTACGGTATCGACCTTTTAGGGACCTGGGCTCTTCCGTCCTCCCAAGAGCCGCTTAAGGCGTTAGTGCAGTGCAAAGCGGGCGCCATCGGCCCACATACCATCCGCGAGCTTGAGGGTGCTTTTGTCGGCGCGCCCGTCGGATGGAGAGGCCAAGGTGTGCTCGGGGTTCTCGCGAGTCGAAAGGTGGCGACTAAGGGCGTGGCTGATGCGTTGGCGCGGAGCCGGTGGGCTATGGTTTTTGTTTGCTGTTCTGCCGAGGGAGTTATCTCGCAGGTGAGATGGAATCATCGGGCGGAGCAAGAAGGCTTGGAAGGATTGCATGCAGCGTTGCGGCACTCCGCGGACAGCGCGGAGTCGCGGATTGTTTTAACTTGGAAGGGGGAAGCGTTGACTCCGGCCGGTAGCATTGCGCCGTGCAATGAGGAGTGAGGTGTTGTTTGAGTGGCCTACCTCGACCTAAACTGGACTTCTCTTTGGGCGAGTACGTCTTACGTTTCGCTTCAGCCTCGCCTGAGGGCCCCGGGCACACGCGAGCCAGGCTTTAGGAATTCGCTCCGGGATCCTTCTTTCGACCCTATTTCGGAGTTAATCTACCCACCCGCCGGGGAGCATCTGGTGCCCATACGTCTGACTTTTCGCCGTGCCTCGCTTGCGAATAGTATACTACAGAGTGAGCTCTTAGCGACTAGTGTACAGATCTTGGAGGTTGGATCTGGACGGGAGTAATATTGCTTGTATATTACATTCCACAAAGGCGAAGGAACACAAGAGACCCTGGGAAGTGTACTGGACCTCGCGACGAGATCTATAGATCTGTTTGCTTATAATTTCGGAATGGAACTCCCACGATGAGGCCAAGAACGGACCTTGTCAATGACGGATTTGATCTCGTCGCTGGCTGGGATATGTAGTAAAATGTATTATATATACGAGAAGAATGCTCATAAATATTCATCGCCACATCAATCGATCGGAAACGAAACGCATTCACCGGCATGACCCAAAACCGATGTATTCGCCAACTTGATATTCGTTTTGGTTTACCTGTGTATCGTGGTCGCTGATATTTGTCTGCTCCGTCTTGGCGGGTGCCGATGCCGCCTCCAATTCGAAACATCCAAAATTGAGTTGAATGAACCTTCCGCACTGTTAGGTAATGGAACATCCCTGTCCTTAATGTACCAGTAGTAAGTTTATTACTGACCCCCACTAAAGCTAACTTCCCACCATTGCTGTCGATGGCGGAACTACGCTCCCCGCAAACAACGACGAAATATCCAACTTTCCGAGTTCAATATCTGATATAGCCCATAGCTGCGATGGATAGGCTGACCCAATTACAAGATGCTGTTGACCAGGTAAGGATACGTGCTACTCTCTCCAACCTTCCAAACACGGTCAGGCTAACTGGCTGGAACTCGACATTCAGCTTGCCCTTCAATTCGTCGCGTCCATCCATTTCGCCCACAAGCGCCACGACCTCGAAACCCTCGGCCCCAACGACAAGATCCGCAAAGTGAAGCAAGAGGAGGAGAAAGAAGGTATATTTGCCCTTGCCTCGATTCTAGTGGGCTGAGCGGAAGGTCCCTACTCCCTTTGGCGAGAACGTGCTAACCCCACGCGACCCAACCTGCAGTTGACCCTCTTCCCGAAGATGACTTCCGCGCCGGCCTTCTTGAATTATCGCGCGATCTTATCCTTAAGGAACAGCAGATCGAAGTTCTTATCTCGACACTCCCGGGCCTCGATAGCAGCGAGCGTGACCAGGAGCAGTGCATAAAGGAACTGGAGGAGGAGCTCAAGGTGGCTGAGGAGCAGCGGCAGGATGCATTGAGGGAAAAGGAGAGGGTTGTTGGCCAACTTGATCGGATACTGAAGAGTGTGAGGCGGCCGTGATGGTTTTAGTCCCCCTTTTCATTGGGAATTCCGTTTGGTTCGGCGTCTCGGTCCGGAGTTTGAGGGCGTGGTGCCCAGGTTCTACAAATACCAAGGGAGAGCTATCCATATAATCTATTGAGTTTGCGAAATATACCACCAACAGCGCCATATGCTCTCTATCATCAAAGTACAATGAATGCTGCCATATCAACGCCCCCTTAACCACCCCGTACCTTCAGTCCTAGGCAACGCCAGAACCTGCAATATCCATCGGAACCCCCGCTATTAGATGAGCCATCGCGACCTGATCTTCGTTTAAGCCGGAGGGTTCTTTGACTTGAAAAACTGGGGGTAGACGTCGCGTAACTCTTGTAGAGTCTGGATTTGACAGTTGCACGCTGGCTTCTCTGGTATCGGGGTCCCCTCCTCTACTAAGTGAACAACTGACCATCCGAACTCCGCCGCTTTGCAACAGTTCAAGTACGAGTCGTCTGTAGACACAGCTGTGGTTAGCAGGACAGACTCATCAGTGGCCCGACCACGCACCCTGCGAACTTACCAACAAAATAACAGTCCTCAACTCGGCTCACGCCTGCTTCCCTCATGCCCTTCTCGTACATCTCCCGACTGGGCTTGCAGACGAGGCGAGGCTGGGAATAATCGCAGTACGTCAACCCATCGAAAAGATCATCGACGCCGAGAAGTTTAACCACTCGTTTTCCGTGGTTTATATGGGCATTGGTAAACAGCCACATGGTTACCTTGCTCTTGTCGATATCTTCGAGGAGGCTCCGCAGCTCCGGGTCCGGAGTAATGACATCCTCGAGGACCAATGCATCGTCGACCTTGGAATTGTACTCGAGTGGGTCTATCTGATGGTGACGAACAAGGCCCTCAATAGCTAGGCCGTAGTTTTTATAGTATTCACGATGAAGTCTTATGGCTTCTTCTTCCGGAAGATTGAGATGCGTCTGGAAGAATTGGTCTATAAGACGTGCCATCCGATCATGGACCCTCCTGCCTACAGAAAAGTCAGCAAGCCAGGCCAGCAATGAATCATAGGACAAGGGATCTTCACTCTTCGAGTATAAGCAGTTGTCAATATCGCTAACAAGATGTGTTAGTGAGCGACGTTGACCAGGGAGAGCGCATGTGAGGTTCTATGCGTACAAGAAAAACACCGGCTTGGCCGATGTCGCTACGTCACCATTTGTGTGGTTGTGGTTTGTCGCCATGGTTGAGGTCGTATAATTTCGCGATCCTGCTGTGTGTACTCGAACAGATGATTGCCAAGTGCCCTTTCCTGCGATACGAAGAGAATTTTGAGGTGGTCCGGGCTGTATATGTTCTCTCTCAGACACAAACAATGCTCGTGGCGGACTGCAACTGGCTCTACGAAGATTCCCGAGCGTGGAGAGATGAGTCAATGGCGGTGACGCTACGTTGATGGAATGCAATGCCTTCGTGGCAGGGAGATTAGCGGACAAATAATGAACAACAGCTCTCCGAGGAGAAAACCCTAGCATCTTTGGAAAGACACGAGACCTCAATCTAGGATTGTTTCGAGGTTGGTTTGTCCTTGCCCGGGGAAGTTCAACAACTCTCGCTTAATAATTCTGGCAGAGATACGAAATACATCGAGGCTTTAAGAAAGAGTTACCGAGGAGCCTTGACTGCTCACTTCAGCTCCCATAGCTAGGAACCGTCAAGCGGCAGGCCAGGATCTGATAATTGCGGATTTTTACTTTCCTAGAGCAGAAGAAAAATGACCATAAACATCTACAGCATTTTACTAGATTTTTGACTTTTACGAAGTAATGGGATGTGAGATGAATTTTTGCTCCTCGCCAAGGCTGCCGTCGGAGGAATCCAACGGGTAGAGTGGAGTCGTTGCGTTTGTGACACTTGCCTCCTGGAAATCTATTGGAGAGAGCAACAGTTGGGCAGTTCAGGGATTGAATTCAATTCAATGCTTGCATCGCACTGTCCGACAGCGCGAAGGGGGCCTCAGGCATCCAAGAGCAAAACAAGCACGAGCAATTAAGCGCTGGGAGCCACTAGAATATTGTTCTGTCTTGTGATTGGCTACACACGACGATAGCCCATCCTTGATTTCACGAGCTTAATAAGTTCGCTTCACATTTTATTTTATTTTTTTCTTCTTCGCGACTTTGTTTCTGGTTCTTCCTACTGAAACTTCATCTGCAAACCTACTCTCGGAGACGAACCCAACCATCAGGGTAATTCCGGCAGCCACTATTTGATGACACCAGATACTTGTGGCACAGTCTGAGCGGTAGCGGTTTGTATTTCGCGCGTGGCGATTGTTGCAAAACATCGTATTGCCGACGAGTGAGTTGGCCCTTCAAGCGAGCCTCCAAAGAGCTACGAGAGTAGTCGTGGCATTTTCGCAGAGAGGAAAAGGGAAAAAGAAGGAGAAGGAAAGAAAAGAACGTCTTGACTTGCCCAGCAGTTCGTGGCCGCAATGGCGGCGTCTAGCCATGTTATCACGGCTGCCACCCTCCCACCGACAAGCCCTGCGAGTATTTCTCTTAACCAGGGAAATACGTCGCACACACTGACGGGGGAGGAGCAGTTTGTGATACAGGAATGTCACAAAATCGTCCAGTTCAGGAATAAGATTCTTGCTGGAACTCACCCTAGAATTCAGCTTCCGCCACAGTTGGCTGCTAAAGTAGCTGCCGCACAGAAAGTGCCCCCTCCCAATCTTCAATCGACAGCAGATGCTGCCAAGCGTTGGCCACGTAGTCACCAGACGAATACCGACTCCGTCAAGACGAAATCGCCCGTCGTTATTCCTCGACCATCACAAGCAGTCGCTGCCACTGCCGCTGCTCCTGCTTCGAAGCCGTTTGCCACTGGCAATGCTGAGATTAACCCCATCTTTCTGGAAAAATCTGAACAATTGATAAAGGCAGAGTTGAAGTTGGAGAGAGATAAGCTCGAGCGGGCTCTAAAGGAGGAGGTGGATCAGCAGAAGAGATACAAGTTTAATGCCGCCCAAGTCGAGTCTCCTCGAGATGAACTCGACGTGTCTGACATTTTCGCCAAGGCGCAGGCCCTTGTGCAGGCCGCGGCAGCCCCCTCTGTTTCCGCTACTGCCAACGTCACTAACGCTGCAGCCGATGGAGATTCTTCGTTCGATGAGAACGACTACTATTCTTCGAGACATGAGACTCTCGAATCTCGTGACAGTGGTGCTGAGCAAAGTGAACCCGTCGAGGCCGCGGGTGCCGATCTGAAAATGACAGACAAACGCGCAGCTCCTCCCGCTGCGCCTGGCCAGGTCGGCGTGTTCCAGCAACAGCCGCCGACTGGGCCTCGGGCTGATGGCTACCACCCTCCCCAGCCAGCACGACTCCCACTCCCTCACCCACCTTCCATCCCTCAACTCCCGCAAAACCCTCCCACATCTAACACTGAGCCCCAGTCAGACATAGGTGGCGCGAACGGTGGTACGCCTGATGGACGGTCCCGCCAGACCAAGGCATTGAGGAGGTCCCAGCGACTCCGAAACATGCAGGATTCACTAGAGAGCGGCGAGGCCACTCAGTCCGACACCTCCGCCCGACTTGATATGTACCAGTATCCTGCTCAGCAATCGGCGAGTGAAGTAGAGCCGATGGAACATCAACGACGTGCACCGCCTCTCATCCGGTCACACAACCTCACTCCCGTGGCGCCACAAGCTGCCCACGTATCGTCGTTGGTAGCGGCGAGCTCTGCAATGGTACCCGGTGCTGGAGGTACCCCGAATGGCAACGGACACCGCGGTGCGCCTCCGCAGATAGCAGCCCTTAGAGGTGAGCTTAGAGGAATATCTAGTCCCGAAAGTTCATCCCCTCGAGCAACGGTTGGCGAGAAGAGGAAGGGGAAAAAGAAGAATAAGCGCAAGGCGGATAAACTTGGCCAGGATACTTCTTCGACCCCGTACATTAAGCCTGAACCACGGTCTCCATCGCCACTTTCTGCCCCGGCAAACATTCGACCTGCGAAGCGCAGAAAGCAGCAGGGCCAGCAGTATGCCCTGCTACCGGAAGATCTGCCTGAGCAGGCTCCCGCGCGCCCTGATTACTATCAGCTGGTGGATTCGAACCAAGCTGAGCCAATTCCAGTAGCGTATGGAAGGCGTGACGACTTGTACCAGCCCGGTTCGGGTCGACCCAGCCCTCGTCTCGTAAGTCAGGGTTACGAACGTGTCTATCGTGACGATGCCCCGGTTGCCCAACCGGCCGCGCCTCCCCACTACATCCGGCAGGGCAATTCCCCCCGAGCTAGATATGCTGTTCAGTATGCAGATGAGCCTCACTATCCGGTCCGATCAGCCTCTCAGGCTTTACCTAGCCGCGGCTACTATCAGGACGAGTATGGCAGGGTGGATGTTGATGCCCCTCTTGGAGGCTCCCAAAGGCAACCTCTGAGACGTGTGCTCGTTGATTCTTTTGGTCGTGAGTACTTCGAACCCCCGCCGGCCCCTGTGGCCCGTCAGTCCCTTGCGCCGACTGTGCGGTACGGCGATCCGGAGGTTATTTATGAGGGCACCGCTCCCGTTCGACATTCGGTTGCGCCACAGATGCGACCGCGGGAGCCAGATGTTATTTATGAAAGGACAGTTCCGGCTCGGGCCATGTCACGTCGACCAGGACCCGAAGTTTACGAAGAGGGTGGTGTGATTTACCGACGCGCCTCTCCCGTTCCATTCCCTGCTCCTAGACGAGTTATTACGCAACCTGAGTTTGGTCCTGATGGAATGGCGTATCAATCTCGCAGATACTCCGTTAGGCCCGCGCCGGTGGATGATTACGCGCCAGACCAGGGCTTTGTGGAGCGCAGGCCGGTGGAGGGAGGAGCTCCTCGACAGTACATCGCGAGATCGGCCAGTGTTCGACCGCTGGAACAAGTTAGATACGAGTACCCGACAGATATGAGGGGTCGGCTTCATGGCCTGAGGGCTGATGGTGTTCCCGGAGAGTATTCGGCACCATTATCTCGACCCGAGAGCCGCGTCGAGATGATGGCACCACCGGCGGCCCGTGACTACGGACCGCCCCAGGTTGTGCAACGTCCGTATAGTGTTCGGCCTGCAGAGCGATACTATGGCCAGCCTGCTCCCGTCGATGATGGAGAGGTGGCGTACATTGAGAGGCCTGGTGCGCGGCCTGATGTTGTCTATTCTAGCGAGCCACGACGAGAGGCTTACCGATGATTGGTGTCTAATGTTTCCTGTCAGAAAGGAAGATGTGGGACAAGTGGTGTTTGTCTTGGTGTCTATGAAGCGAGTACTATTGTCTTTGTAATGATGGGTATGTCAGCTACTATGGCAGGGAGGACTCGGTCCGAGGATGGGGTCTATTTGGCAGAAGTATTTGTTTCTTTTCCCTGTATGAATAGTTCAGAGTTACAGAGTTACACTACACATATGGGTTTATGGAAGCATAGGCAGGCAAACCGGGTTAAAATGGATGCTTCTTTTCAACATGCGGTCACAGGTCCGAGATTGCGAGGTAGTGGACCCTAACGTCGAGGAGTAACCTCTAGTTTTTAAGAATTGTATTAATGATTAGATGTAAAGAGTTACTGACATGTTCCTTTCCATAGTCTGAACCTCCAAGGCTTCATCAGGCTCGAGCTTCTTCTGTTCGTGGTGAAGGATGAAATCTTATCCTGGGGCGGAACTACAAGCTTGGTGTCACCTGGAGTAAGCTAGCAGAGGGAAGTCTTTCTCCCTTGCTTCATAGCTCGATTTGATGACCCAAACCCCCATCAATAGATCTAGATCATCAGTAATTTCGATGAACTTGGCACATGAACTCGGAGTCTAAGTTTCTTTTTGTTTAATTACTTTGTAGGCCGAAACATCTCAAGATTTCAGCACTCGAATTGTTTCTAGTTTTCGAGGGAGGGCTCATATGAGAACAACGAAGGAGAGATATTCTAACTTCATCCATTTCCTTACCCCTAGCGCCTCATACGTATCAATGTACGCCCTGCTTCAGCTTTACATCATTGTCCTGTCTGCATCCATACCAGCGCGTGGAGTTAAGGTCGTTGTTTTTCTTTGTGACATCGAATGCAAAACGCTTTACGTAAACAGTGATCTTGAAAGACAAGCTCAGGTGATGTTGAGGTCTTTCCAGGTCTTCCAGTTCCTTCTACGAACTACTAACTGGAACAGTATTAGCGAGGGTGCCTCCCGGATAAGTGTCGGATTCTGAAGTAGATTCTCAATGGCATCAAGCCCGGCAGAGATTTTCTGGGGCAAAGCACGCGAAGTGTGGGAATACCGGCATTCTCTAGTGTGTCACTAGTGAGGACGCTTGGGGAGCACGTTGAGGGCCTATCTTGAGGATCTAGCTGGTACCTCTTGGATAGGTCAGGATTGTGGGTCTGGTTGAAGAGGTGGAGGGATAGGTTTGAGGGTTAAAAGAGCATTTCGAATAGGTTTAAAGTTTCTGTGTTAAAGGGTGGACGGTGATAGGTTTGTGAGAATGCTTCGATGCCGTTCAATTAACCCGATAAGACCGGTCGAAGGAGCTGGGAGCCGCAGATCAATCTGATCTTCCCTTGGAGAGTCGGTTCAAGGAACCAAAGCGCATATTACTTGTCCTGGTTCGCGAGTGATTAAGGCCCGCATTGATGCTCGGGCAGGAGGGAGGGAGGGAAGAAACAGGATCGGTAATGGGTCGATGGAGATCATAGAGGAAAGATGCTATTATCTCGAGATCAGGGAGGGTTTTGGCTAAGGAGAATCACAGCTCTTGGGGTCTTTCCCCTGCTGCTCCTCGCCTGCTCCCCTTGACAAATGAATCATGGTCGATCTCCCCTTCTGATCTGTGGCTTGCTGCGGCATTCTCGATAATCAGACATGGCTGGACCCTGGTTTGACACTGACGCGTTCGAGCTGGGGTATGAATGCTTCAGGTCAGAGAAGCCGCTGGCAGTTATTTTCCAGTAAGAAGAGAGGCATGGTTGTTAAGTCTTTCATCAATCAAGCGTCCTCCGTATTTCCTGGCACACAGTCCCCGTCCCCACCAAGCTCAGATCTCGTTCCAAGATGTGAGGGTATAAGTACACTACTACTAAATAGGGAAGTGGAGTTCCTTTCTCTTAGGTCGAAAGACGCCTGGCGTGAGCTTTACAGTCTGGTAGCAGACATTATGATCTGTTTGAGCCTTAAGGAGTAACCTTTTTGTAGCTCCCCCGAAGACTCCCGCCCGTCACCGAGTATCTGCAAGACGAAACAAAGCACTCTTTGTCGACCGAGTCTGGCTGAAAGTCTCTTTTGTTGCCGGCGAATGGATTGTGCAGCGTGCAGGGGGTCCACGTCCCAGGGTTCAATATGGAGAATTAGGGTCAGGCGACGCAGGGATGGTCAGGCGAGGAAGTTTTGGCTCGAGGTACATGACGGGGAGGCATATCATTACGAAGCGTATGTACGACGTAAACTATATGCAGTGGATATGCTATACCCGACGAGAAGAGCAAAAGAGATGCATCCCGGACGCTCCGGTAGTTGCTTCCATTACGCCGGCGCTTTCGGTCGCCGAATCAGCAACGCTGGTCAGCTGCATCGCGAAGAATGAGGCTCTTCCTGGCGCTACGGTAAACCTTTTCAGAGGTGAGAGGGACAGACCTGATAAACAGAGTCGCTCTTGGGCGCAGAGGGATTCATCGAATCGGAGCGAATCACAAGATGCATCTGGTCTCTTGGACCTTGCGGGGCGTGGGACCCTGTCCTTTTCGGTGTTAGGTCTGGTCATACTCTGTTCTGTGCAAGCAATGATGGTGCCAGACTGCCAGTTCCAGCATGGGCGGTCACTGAAAAACAGAGAAAAGCTTGATTGGTGGTCTCAATCGGCTTCGAAGTCGACAATGTCATTGATTGATCAATACTGAGGTACTTCAATGTCTGTTTCCTGATGAGAGAGACTTCATAAGGGTACAACTTAAGATCCATCAATACTTCCTGGGCAGGCACCTTAACCCGCGTAGAGTTTGTTCAGGTACACGACCAATCGCGTACCCACAACGTGTAAATTGCCCTGAGAGGCCGGGAAAGATGTCCTCCAGCTTGCACAAACCATTTGATTGATCCAAATTGCAACTGACCAAGCATGATGCAGACTCTAATACATCAAATTGACCATTGATGTTGGACGAGAACACAGCATTTGGCTGGCTGAGTGTTCTATCAGTGGTCGGTCATCTCACACGACTTGATCAACCCGAGTTCTCTCAATAGTCCATTCTGTAACTCGGCGTTCGAAGTACACTACTAAACTACTTGGATGCAGCCTATGGAGGGAAAGAGCCAATGGTGGGGTGGACGTCGACATTGATCCAGTCTTATCACGTAATGCGCAGAGATGTACCTGTACTCGGCTCTACGGGATTCTGATGTGAGAACAACTTGAAGCCACAAATGCATCTACTGCGCCGGTATGGGAATGCAGATGAAGCCTGTGAGATTCAGTCTATCCATATGTGAGAAGATTACTGAGGTATTGAACACTGGAATATCCTTGGATCTTCTCCTCTCCTAACCTTGGGATGGGACCAGGGACGCGCTGGCACGACTTCGTAACCGGAGCAGCACTGATCTCGGTCCCCCAAATTACCTCTCAGCACTGCCTCAATGGATCTCCGAAAAAGTAATATTGGTCTTAGCAGGCTTGCAGCATGACAAGCAATGGCAACAATATCGCCCCCAATTTCGAACCTCCAAGGTTTAGGGCCTGGAAGAGGTACTTGTCCTCGTCGCTACACAGGGTGCGATACATTTAAGATATTGGGTCCATTGAGCACATGTCGACTTGTCTAGGACAAATAAACTACTGCCGCACCGGCTAAGGTACAAGACAATTGTTAGGTTTGATGCCAAGGGCATCGTCAGTCGCAGTAATGTTGGCTAAGTATTTCTATAATTTACTAAGAGGAACATTTTTCAAAATATGATATTCCTCTCAAGTGCGCTGTTCCATAAAGCCAGGGAGCTTGTCGTACAAAGTAATCATGTAGTGCAGTGCCTCGGACGAGATGTATCTTCGATTGTACTGCGACGAGGTTCAATGTTCCCTTGTCCACCACCCACCATCAAGAAGTCACTGGCTCCCACCAATTGCTAGTCTTGGTACACTCTAACTTGGGTCCGCCTATCGGGATTGCGTGCAGCTGCTAAACCTGACATTGGATAGACCAAGACTCACTGCACCTTCTTCATCCTTCCCTGCCTGACTAACCAGCCCACAGCACCACAGCACCACCAAGAAGACTCTCTTTGGTCAAACTCCTCTTCTCTTCTCTCCACAACTTGATCAACTTCTGTTCTCGTATCGAGGCCAGAAACCACCCCAGGAACATTATTCACAACCCTTTCTTTTTCTTATTCCCTTCTTGATACCTTCGTCTCTCCTTCTCCTTCTCCCTTTCCCTTTTTTTTCAGCCTTCCTTCTCTTCTGGGGCGAGATCGTTTTATACCCTTTTTTTTCTTCTTACGCTGTCATCCGCCTTTGGTCTAGTCCGAGCCTTCCCCCGCCGCCGAGAAACCCCAGCTTCCCCCGTCTTCGAGCCTTTCGAGTCCCGCCCACTTCGTCTCTGCGGCCTTTGCGATTCATGACAACTACTACCGCGAAGACCACTTCTCGAATTTGTTGGCACCTGCGTTGCTCAGTCCATAGCTATTTATCTCTTCGGCCACTATGAACAAGCTGTCGAATATGCGTCAATGGTCAGAGCGGATGAGCCCCAACTTTGCCATCGGAGGCCGACCGAATCCGAACATACCGGTAAACCCGCTGAATCCTCATACGAAGGCGCCGCCAATCCCCCAAGGTCCTCCAATTGCTTCTCCGCAGGGCGATGCCACGATTCACTACTCGTTCAATGTGCCCTTCGCCTCCGATCTTGCAGGGCCCAACACGGAAGACATCCTTCACGCTACCACGGATGCTGTCCTCCGCTGGACTCACCCCGAAGACGCCCCCGACGATGTCCCTGTCCACGATCTTCCAATCCACGCCCAGAACTTGGCAAACCTGATGAGGTTATGTAGAGATCTTTCAGCTGGTCCTCTACCCGTAGAAGCACACGTAGTTACGACCACTCCTAAGAATGCCAAGGGTCAGGTCACAACTGTCTGTCTCTCGGGCTCCCCCGAGCTCGTCCAGAAGAGCCGTGAGACCATCCTCAATGATACCCCCATCTCTCTGGTGCGTATTTCCAAGCATTGCCGTCCTCTTGGCAGGCGCCCCCCTTCTCCCCCCTCCTGGCCTTAATTTTAACTATGAACAATAGCGATGCACACACATTGATATCGACGGCAAGCTTGTTTGCGATCTTGCCGCCGGCGTTCTCAAGAAGCCCGTCATTGAAGACCTTGACAAGATCTCCGCCTATTGTGGTGTCGACATCTTCCTGCTTGGACCGAAACTGACACCAATGGTCGATGGTATGGCTGGAGATGGCGAGGCGAGAGTCGATCAACGATGGAGAATCGCAATCTACGGAGATGTCCTGGCGGCTGAGCATGCCAAGGCTCGTGTCTTGATCCAAATCGACCGTCTGGTATGGCCCTTAACATCCCGCCCCTCGCTCTTGCTCTACCTTCCCTTGGATGCCGCGTGTCTAGCACCTTTTCTTTTCTTCTTCTTTTTTTTTTTTTTTTTTTTTTTTTTTTTTTTTTTGGATTATTTCTCTTGCTGACTACTTGGGACAGCTTGGCCGCATTGTTGATGCCGTCCAGCTGGAACTGTCTGTTCATCAGATCATCTGTGGACGCCACCGAAAGAGCATCAAGCTCATCGAGTCCGCAACTGGAACCGCCATCTACTTCCCGCCGCCCTTCTCGCAGATGTACCGCTACTGCCCCCCAAACGCCTGCCGTCGCGATCCCAACGACATTTTCATCACTGGCGAGAACCAGCAAGCCATTGAGATGGCAAAGCAGAGACTTCACGATGCCGCGCTTAGAGTTCGAGTTTTTGTAAAGGATGTGCAGATCACCCCGGCAAAGATCGATAGCATCCTCCTCACGCGGTTAGACAAAGTCAGGAAGATCATGGAGGCCAATGCTGCTTATATCATGTTCCCGCCGCTCGCGAACCAGCGAAACATGGTCAGAGTCCAGGGACTTGACGTGCTACACGTTGAGCGAGCGATCCGGGAGATTATGGCTCTGGTATGATTTTGATTATTGAGATGCATGAGGTTGTCGTGCGGCAGACTAACCTCCTACTCTAGGCTGGTCAATTCTATAGTGCCTCGTGGCTTATCCAGCACGCAGATCCCCGCCAACAACCACCGAGTCCCGCTGACATTCGAAATATCCTCGGCGATATTTGCGCCAACTCCGATGCCGAGATTTCTTTCGACAAGCATAGCTTCAACCTGACGGGATCTGACGATGCGGTCAAGGCAGCTTTGGCGGTCATGTCTGAGATCAAGTTTATTGTCCAGTCGCAATATCAGATCCGTGTCAAGATTGAGTTGGCGAGTGAGCACAAGGAATTCGTCAGTGGCAAGAAGAACGGCAAAATCAACAAGATCATGGGTTCCAGTGCGTCTTTTTGGGACTATCTATACACGCCTCTCTTTGCGAAGTACTAATTTTATCTTCTAGGCAACGTTCAAATTATCTTTGATGGCTTCAACGAGTACAACTTCAACATTGATGTTATGGCCGTCAACTACGAGTTTATGAAGCGAGGCCTGAGCATGGTGGAACAAGAAATGCCGGCGTCTATCTCTTTCCACGTTCCAGACCAGTACCACAAGCGCATCATCGGTATTGGCGGTCAGCACATTCAGAGAATCATGAAGAAGCACTCTGTATTCGTCAAGTTCTCCAATGCAATGGACCGCGGCGGTATGAGCCGCGAGGATGACGACATCAAGGTTGACAACGTCATCTGCCGAACTCCCGCTCGTAACGCCCAGAACCTCGACGCGGTCAAGAACGAGATTCTGGAGATGGTGGACCGTGCTGTAAGTCTTCGGAAACATACCGCAGCCCTTCCGAGGTAATTCGGAGCTAACCACCAGTAGGACTCTGAATACACCTCGCAGACGGTCAACATTGACCGACTCTATCACCGTCAGCTCCTCGCGCGTCTCGGTGACATCTCTGATCTAGAATCCAAGTACAATTGCAAGATTCACTTCCCCAGCACTGAGGATGCTAGTGATGAAGTCAAGATCGACGGCCCTCAGTGGCAAGTCCCTCATTGTGTGGACGAGCTCTTGGTACGTAGCTACAAAAATCGACAGCTATTGACTCGAAGCGCAACTAACCTTTCCATCTCATAATAGGGCATGGTACCCGACAACCACGAGTTAGTTTTAGCTCGGTCCACCGATCTGATTAAGTTTCTTGAGTCGCCCGATTTTGCTCATGAGCTGGTTCCTAAGTTTAAGACTCAACACGAAGTCGAAGTCACGGTCCATCAGAACCCGGATGAGCGAAGGGAAGACGGCCTGCCTACTATTACGTTGATGTGGAGCTTCACTCGCAACAACGCCGGTGGCCTTCGCGACGCAATGGACTTCCTACAAGCCCAGTTTGCCACTGCTGGTGTGGAAGTCAACATTGTCAAGGGCTCCATCCTACGACCGAAGTCTGACTCGTTCGAAGACTCGCTCCAGTACTTCAACTCCCGACTTCTCCAGCATGCACCCGCCCCAATCAAGACTGATTCACCCGTCAAGCCCGCTTTTGGAGAAGAAGTCGCTCGAGAGCGGAGCACCATCTTCGACAGGCTCCGAAAGCCTGGCAGCATGACATCCATCTCGTCATTCTTGGACCGCAGGAAGAACAGCTCAACCTCGGCTGCTGGGTTTTTCAAGGGCTCAAGTAACGTATCCAAATCGTCTCTCATTTCTATCGAGTCTGCCAGGAGCTTCAACGCCGACCGTAACCCCTGGAACGATAGCGGCGTGAACCTTCCGGAAGAAGACCACAACATCTGGGGACCACCCCAACATATCGGCAACGGCTCCAAATTGATGCCGCATATGCCCCAACCTGGCGATGCCACTCCACGACACGGCACTCGCGCGTCCGGCGACAGCGGACGCCCTTCCACTTCTCATTCTACCAATTCAGGATACCCCGGTCCCATTGGACCATACCGTTAGATTCCCTTCTTAGAACTGCAAAATACCCCGGCTGGATATACCCTATACCCTGGCGTACAAATACCCGGAGATTCTCTCTCGTGCATCGGTCGGCAGCACTTTCTGTTTTCTGGGTCGCAATGATTTTTTGTTTCCAATTTTCCTATTCAAATCTGTGTTCTATCTGATGTATCTCTTTTCTGCTTCTCAAGGATGCTTGTTTCTGTCTTCCTTTTCCCCTTTTTCATTTTCGTCACCCATCTCGACATCGGTTCTTGAGCCGTGTCATGGGCTCTTACTGGTGACAATTGGCCGCCGCTGTCGGCCAGTTTCCATCATTTGTTAACGGTCTCGGTGGGTTCACGAGCCTTTCGGGTCCTGTATCGTTTTGAATTACGCGCCACGACATGTCGAGATGATGTTTTCCCTCTTTATACCAAATACCAAATACCCAAACGCGCTGCGTTTCAACAATGAAGAAAAAAAGGTTTATGCTTCGACTCCTACACGCCTGATGGGACGGCCACCGACCTTTCCAGCCTTGTGTCTATCGAATACGCACGGTGGTAGCATTTTCGACTGGTAGCGAATCTTGTCTCTTTACGTTTCAGGAGCAGCCACCACGACTGTAGGCTTGCAGTTCGGAGAGTTCTTTTTATTGCGAACCTGTTTGTTTCTTTTTCTATTTCTTTCCGTCTTTTCAGAAAATTCCGAAAGAGGGGGGCATGGAAGGAGGCATTGATGTTGTTAGGAAGGGGTTTCGAGGGTTGATTTTGAAGGATCGTTCCGTGCATAAGAGGGAGTTTGGCTGGACAATTGGGTCGTCTGCGCATGCTTGCACGGAACTGGGGAAAGGGTGGGCATGGTTTTATGCCTCTGGACATGGCTGTGTAAGGGGAAGATGGAACTCGGACCGGGATGAGATGTTCTATCACTCGTTTCTTTTCGGCTCGGCCTCATCTCCTGGAATAGGGCCGTGTCACTCAGTCAACGCAATCGTTTTCTGCATATCATATTCACAGCGAGAATGGCCTCCGACAGCACACTTCTTTCTTAGGGATTTCCGCAGTTCATGATCTTCCATTCCATGGAGGTTCATTTCGAACGAACCTTGAGATTGGAGAAGGGTGTCTGACGAGTCGTTTCTTTTTTTTTGTCCACGGCAGCGCCGGTTGACGGGGCTTCTGGGGGAGGGCCCAGGACTCGGTGAGGTCCTTGGGCTTTGGGCACAAAATGATTTGATTGCTATAGGCTGAATAAAAGTGATACCCAAGTGATTGCAAGATCAAAGTTATTTTGCAAGATATATCTACTGAAGAGGTGATTCCCGGAGAGTGTCCGCGTGAGAGATTCGTAGTCCGTGTTGTACGACTTTTTTTTTTTTTGTATTGTGAGCCCGTGAGGGTCTAAGTATTCATCATGGCAGTTTTACAGGATATTAATTGACCGGTGAGCATCTAACAAACATTTTCAGTTTCAATATCGTACAGGTCCCACAGCGACATGCTCCCTCCTCCTCCTCTCCCTCTCCCCCTCAACCCTCGCTACCTCCCTGCTCTTCCTTCTCCCCTCCACCCCCAGCGCCGCGAACCGTCCCCTCGCCCCATGCTTCACCTTGGTAATCATATCCATCGCAGCGCCCTTTGTGATGTCCGACGCAGTCAACGGCTCGGCGCCCTTCCCGCGCAGCTTGTTCAAAAAGTCGAGCTGGCCCTGCGTGGGCGGGCCGGAGCGCCAGCGCTGGCGGCGGTGGATGAAGGTGTGGGGGAAGGTGGTGGCGTTGGAGGCGGCGTAGTTGTCGCAGCCGTGGACGGCGTCGGGGAGGGAGGTTGCGGAGAGGAGGTCGCGGGGGGTTGCGTAGGGGGATTTGGCGATGCCGGGGGGGAGGGCGCGGACTTCGACGGCGCGGAAGAGGGGGGTGGGGGTGGTGGTTGTAGTAGTAGGGGTAGTTGTTTTGCGATTTGTAGATGATGATGGTGATGATGATGATGATGGGGCTTGGATGCGCTCTATGCGGATGTAGGTTCCGTTGGGCGCAGTGAGGACGTAGCGGTCCGGCGAGACTTGGACCCAGGCGTTAGGGCTTAGCGTGCGGATGTGTTTTTCGCCCGATGTGTCGGCTATGAGGTCTAGGACGGAGGAGTATTGGGTGAAGGTGACCTTGGTGTTTGGGTCGAGGGGGTTCTCAGCAGCAGCCGAATCAGAGGGGTCAGTGAAGGCAGCTGCGACATCGACCCCGCGGCGGTCTCTAAGCGCTTTAAGGTCTTGCGTAGTGGCGTCCTGGACGATCTCCCCTGGGTCCAAACCGAAGAGGGTCGGGGTCGTGACGATACCAGTTTCCAGGCTCGAAACCATGTCAATGACATGACAGTCCGTCTTCCCCGGGTAGAGGCGCATTCCACGCCCGATCATCTGGACGAGGAGATTCCTGGATTTGGTGGGGCGCGCGAGGACGACGCAGTCGATGTTGGGAATGTCGGTGCCCTCGGTGAAGACGCCGCAGTTGACGAGCACAGGGAACTCCCGCCTCTTGAAGGCGTCGAGTGTTTCACCACGCTGAATGGTCGGCGTGTCGCCCGAGATGAACCGCGCGTCGATACCGTAATGGCGGAACTTTTGCGTAAGGCTCGCTACGTGGGCGAGGTCCACGCAGAAGACGAGGGTGGATTTCCTCTTCTTCTCCGCACAACCGGCGTGAGCCAGCCAGCTCCGTACGGTGATCTCGTTGACGTGGTCCGTGTTCACGGCGCGGGAAAGTTCGCCGGGTCTGAAATCGCCATTGGAACCGCTTCTCACGGCGGAGATGTCTGCCGTGGACTCCACCGTCGTGAAGAGGACGTCGCACAACCACTTCTCGGCAATCATGTCGACGTAATCCCGGTGATAGACGATCTCGTCGATAGCAGCACCTAGCCTCAACCCGTCAAACCTCGAAAAAGTAGCCGACACGCCCACTAAGGCAGGCGAATCCGCCCTCTTCTTCTCAAGACCAAAGTGCGCCAACGTCCGCAGGTAGCCGGGAGCGACGATGTGGTGTGCCTCGTCGACGAGCACGAGCTTGAACCGCTTCGGGTCGAATTTTTCAAGCCTGTCCCGAGACGTGATACTCTGCACGCTGGCGATGGTGATGTCCGCGAGGCCCGAGGCGTGGAGGTTACCCATCTCGACCTCGACGCGCAGGTGGGGGTAGGCGGCGGCGCAGTGTTTGGCCGCTTGCTCGACGAGCTCGCGGCGGTGGGCGAGGATGAGGGTTTGGGTTGCCATAGGGGACGGGGCGGGGATGCGGGAGAGGAGGTGTGTGAAGATGACGGTTTTGCCGCTGCCGGTGGCGAGGGAGATGCCTACGCGTTTGTGGCCCTGGGAGAGGGAGGTAAGGACGGAGGTTATGCATTCTTCTTGGTAGTCGCGGAGTTTGATGGGGGAAGAGGATGGGGGAGGTTTGGTGTGCAAGGTCCTGAGGGGAGGGTGAAAGTGAGTGTGAGGGTGTAAGTGCAGATAAGGTCTACGGATCCCGGAGGACCTTGTGAGACGTTGGCTGAATATGCGGAGCATGGTACATGGTTGTGAAGACCCGGTTTAGATCTTTATCCTGCGGGTTCATAGAATGGGCACGCCGTGATGGTCATAACATTTGACCTTGCTTTTATGTAAATGGGGAGCCTGGCATGACGCGAAGGAGGTGAAGTTCGAGGTCTAGCCAAATTAGCCTCGAAGCATCGAGGCGAGCAAGTCTTCTAATTCATTGATACACGGTCCATGTCCAGTCTCTGCTGGAACGGATCAATTGATACGAATTTTCATGGACTTGTAGAATGTCACGTGCGCAACATCCCCATTCAACTCGATATCAATTGATACCTCGATATTTTAGGGGCAAGAAGGGTGGCTTCGCAGGTGTCTGTGAATGAATGCATACCGAGCAATGCGAAACCTAGGGGTATCGTAGTAAAATGGAAGCAAAAGAAATAAAATAAAATAAATAAATAAAACGGAAGGAGAGGGAAAGAAGCTAACCGTTGATGTCCTTGGGTCGAATCGCTCATCGTTCGCTGTGTCGCCAGGCTATGAAACTAATAACGTCTCCGCTTCGGAAAGCTGCTCAGTTACGTGCAGAAGGTTCTTGCTGCCTTAACCTCTGCATCCATCTTGGGAGTCCCAACGTTACACAATGGGGTTCATTCCGTATGTTCCGTCCTGCCGGACAACCTGGACAGGGCCCGGACACCGTCACAGCCGGAGTTAAAGGGCTTGGATGCCGTCGGGCCCGCTCTCCCATTGAAAGTGACGACGCCGATCCACTGAGTAGATTGGACAGTTCTATGGGTGCCTTGGTATCACGACCTCATTTAATTCAAATGCGATTGATTATTCGCGTCTCGGTGCGGATTTCCCGAGTCGTGCAATCTGTGTATTTCAGCCCAAACAGCATGAAATTGGTTCAGTTGGAAGTTCAAGGGATTGGTGAACATTGAGCATTAGGTGGGCATTTGGAATTCAGCGTTTGTGGTGGCATTCGAGCCTGGGCTTTAGTTGGTCTCGCTCTTATTTGGGCTAGGCCAGGCCTGAGTGTCGTTCTGTTCAACACCAGAGGCTGCTGACAGATTTGATTTTACACAGCACATGGTGACGGTATTTTGGATAATCCACCCACCAAAGACGCTCCTGCCAAAGTAAAAATTTCAATGAATTTGCACTTGACCTCTTCGTCCACAAATCGTCCTCCACTGTGCGTTCTCACCTTCACTCATCATGACCACTTGTTTGTTGATTGTTACGCATAAGGAAAACCCCCTACTCATCTATTTCCCAACGATCCCAACCCATAGGCTGGCGAAACTCACTCGGCAATGAATCTATGGCCGGACGACTCCGAAGATGAGTACGTCCCCGGTCCATCTGGGTCCGAGCCCGAAGATAGCGAAGAGGAATCGCCGGTCATCTTAAAACCCCCCCAACCGAGCAGCAGCCATGTGACCAGACATGAACCATCGCCTGCATCTCGGAATGAGGAGGAGGGGGGTGGGGAAGAAGAGAACGAAGGACAACAAGAAGGCGAAGAAGACAAACAAGGGCTTCATAATGAAGAAGCGGCCAGGCCCAGACGGAAACGAAGGCGTCGTTCGGCAGGCCTCGATATGCCTGAGGGGCGTTTACCCTACAAACGCATGCCCGGCGTCTTCAACGCGGACTACCTGGGCCTGCTAAACGAAGACATTGACGACGCCAAAGAAAAGATCACCGCCGATCCCAAGCCTTCAAAGTTCTTCACCAGCCAGATTGGCATGGTGGTATGGACTGCTACCGAGAAACAGTTGTTTTTCGACGCCGTGGGAAAGCTCGGAAAAGGCGACTTGCGAGGGATTGCCTCGCGGATACAGACCAAGAGCATCCCCGAAGTTACACAATACATGCAGCTCCTCGAGAAAGAGGCTACGAGCAGAGTCGCTCAAAATCGAGACATCGTGACCAAGGCGGATATTCCCGCGGCTGCCGAAATCAGCCTCCAGTGCTGCCTTGCCCTCGATGCCGCCGCCGACGAACTCTCGCTTCGCCAACAGAGGTACGAGGAGAAGCGGGAACAGCAAAAGTGGGCCGAGTTCCCCTGGGTCATCACGCAGACAACCGCATCCGAACTAGACCAGAACCCGAAAGACTACGATGAGCCCTTCGTACAGCTCTTCCACCTCCCAACCTGGCTGAAGCTCTCCGGCACTGTCTTCATGAACGCGTCGTTTCCCGAGAATAACTGGCACTTTATCGACGAGGAGCCGCCTGCGATTAGAAGCACGGCTTTCCAGGATTTTCATAATCTTACCGTCTCTATTACCCGCCGTATTATCAGCTCTGCCATCTTTTTTTCCTCGTCAAGAATTCGAGCCAAAGGACCTACCGAAACTAGATTGAGAGACTTGGTCAAGCGGGGGGATGTCGTGGCGGCGGTGAAATCCCTAGGCTTGGCCCGGGATAGTGGCAAGTTCTGGGCTAAATGTCCCCGGCGGTTGAAGCTGGATGTCTACGACGATAAGGGCCTGCGCGAGGGCGCTGATGGGGAATCTGACGCCGAAGACGGCGCTAAGGGCTTGTCAGTCCTGTCCTTCGCGGAAGTGGAACATGCCTTGGGGCTAACTGAGGAGTTGCAAGAGGATTCGTCGGAAGAATCCCAGAGTGAAGATGATGACAACCCCGAGGATGAAACACCCCCCACAAAGGAAGAAAACGATATCGCTAGCGATGACGATGAGGTGGTCGAGGCGCAATTACAAGCCGCCGAGGCAACCATGGACGAAGAGATCAGGAAGGAGATCGAAGACGAAGAAGCCCAAACAGAAGCTCGGGAGCTCATCTTCCACACCGCCCTCGATATCCCACCTACCCGGCGTACGATCGACGCCATCAAGCGACGTGTCATGACTGAACGGAACCACGAGTCCTACGCGGCCTCCTGCGACGAGGTGGCTAGCGTGAACGGAGAGCTGAAGCTTTGGGAGATGCTGAAACTTGACCCTCCGGAGAGCCTCGCTAGGAAGAATCGTGTTCTCGAACAGGCGAGAAGGGAGGCTGTTTCCACTGACGATTACTTGAAAAGAGAAGATTGGAGGAAGAGCATCAAGTATGTCAGTGAGTGGGAGGTCACGACGAAGAAGTAATGATGTTCTGTATGATTTATGAAGATACCCCCATGTGGAAGTAGAGCCGAAAAAAAGAAGACTCAGAGTGAAAAGTTTCTTAAGCTTCGCGTTTCTAATTTCAGCTTGCAGTTGCGAGTCGCTGCGATCTGGTTAACTGTACAAGTACAACACAATAAAATAAGTATCCGCCATTCCTCCTGCTCCGGATAACCTTGGGTATAATCATACATTGGCCTATGCCCGCTCGTGCCGCTCCCGCATTGCATCTCCTCTGCTCACATTCACCGCAATGACTCCCGTTAGCTTCGCCCCCTGCCCCTCCCTCTTCCCCTCCCTCTAGAACCCCCTCTACCTCTCCCTCCCCTCGCACCCCGTGTTGATCTCGCCGGAGTCGCCTCCTCCGCACTCTCCTCTTCCTCCTCCGACCCGCTCTCTTCTTCCTCCTCTTCCTCCGAGCTCTCCTCAACCTCCGACGCCTGTTTTGACACCGAAACCCGTCCTCCCCTCCCACCTCTACCCCTACCCCTACCCCGTCCTCTCGCCGTCCTCGCCGCCTTGGGCGCAGGCGACTCCGTCTCCGTCACATCCTCCGAATCGTCAATAGTACTCGACCTCCCAGACCTCAATCTCTCGCTACCGCGCTTACTCCTCCTTCCCGGCTTGGCAGGCGGTTCCTTCTCCTTCTCCTTCTCGCTCTCGGGCTCCTCCGTCCCTTCTTCCTCTTCTTCTTCCTCCTCCTCGACGCTCTCCTCGCTCGACATCTCGCTCGAAGAACCCCGAAGCACCCGCTCCTCTATGAGTTCGTGGAACTGTCGACCTAGTGAAAACTCGAGGTACTTATCCTCGGCGGCGTCGTCGTCGAAGTTCTCACGGTCGTTGATGATGTCGAGGTTGTAGTGCGCGCGTAAGCGTTCCCAGATGCGCGGGATGCGGGTGTGCTGGTGGATGTCGGGGTCGAAGCCGTGGTTGCGGAGATGTTCGGATATTGCGATCATGCGGAAGTGTTTGTGCATTCCTAGATCATCGGCGCACATTGTTAGCATAGGCTCTCGAGTAGTGTAAGTGTGGGGATTGAAATTGGGATCGGGGGTCGCGCATATCCCCTACCTGCTGGCTTCCATCGAATCACGCCTTTGAAGAGGGAGGATAGTTGGTCGTCTGTCCACATGTCGTTGTGGATGTCTACTGTCGTCGTGCCTTTGCCCGCTGCTGTAGCTTTGCTGGGCGTTTCGGATTTGGGTGTGTCGATATCCATCGCATCGTCGCTTTTCGTTGTGTTCGGTGTAGAGACGGATTGGCTTGCGCCGCCTCTGGCCTTCTTGCGTGGCGGCATGTTGAACGTAGGGAGAGGATATGAGGATATGCGCTGCTTATCGGAGGGTGGTGATGAAGCCTGGTGAATCAATTCGTTGGATCATTAATTGATGGCTTGCTGGGAAAGCTAGTCTTGTGAGCTCAGGAAATTTGGAGCTTCTGGAGTTGTCGTTGTCTTTGGTGGGGCACTTTATTGGCAGCTGCCAACGAGTGGTTATTTTAGACCACACGTGCACCTAGAAATTCGACGACGCGACGCGCCGACAATCTTTAACGACGTCAATGTTTAGCAAGCTATTAAGGAAGCGATAGCTTTTAACACCCTCCAGATGATTTTATTGGAGAAAATAAATTCCTGCCCACCATGGCTGTTGACGACGAGGCGGCTGACATTTTTGCGATCCCCGATTTCTGGAAGTCGTCGAGCTGGCTAGCTGGAGATGGGCCCACCTCGAGCTTCTTTTCCCTCGACTTGAGGGGTAAGTTGTCCTTAATTCTGCGCCCAGAACCCCTGGTTGCTAACTACAATCCTATAGAAATTGACTCTCGTGTCAAGGTCGATCCAATACTCACCGACGACGAGGGATTCTTCCGACAGCCGGCCTTCGCTTCCGAGTCACAGCAGGATTCTACGTTAAACGACGAGCCGACGACGGAGGAAGAGTCTGAGCACTGCTTTTCGGAAGGGTCCGATAGTATTCTTGACCTTTGGCTTCTAGACGAACCCCGGGAGAAGGTCCCGGAATACAAATCGTGGGATACCTTTGGCGCGCAAGATGCGCCGAGACTTCAGGCTCTGTATGTCACGGAGGCGGGGCCGAACGTGTACGATGCGCTCCTCGGAGGGGAAGAAGATCCTCTAGATCTGAAAAACGGCGAACATGCGGTCGTCAATACAAAGACATACTTCTCGGCGCTGATGGCCGTTGCTGTCGGTCGCGAATCAGTCCTTTTCACCTACGATGCCAAGGTCTTTAAGCCTGTCTTGCCCAAGATGAGGATATCGGGTTATTCCGGTGACGTTTTGAGAGGAATACAGGACATGTCGGTAGGCTGCGGGGCAATGTTCCGTCGGTTGCGAAAACTCGTCGATTCGACGTATACGAAACATCCTACGCCCGTTCGGGTAGCTCTGGCGAGTGCTCTGGACACCGTGTTGGGGGTTATTGAAGCAACCATTGCAGTCGAAGGTCGACAAGCGCGATCGCTTCTGCAACTACAGCTAAAAATCAGGGGAATCTTCTCCATTTTGAGAGAGTTCGACGGTCTAGTCGGGGGCCTGAGGTCTAGCCATACGGACGATGCTATCCTCTCTCTGGTCTTCCGGCGGGCCATGGCTGCCGAGTACAAGGATGTGCATGTGCGGGACACGATGCGAGAGGTCCTGCAGAGAGTCTCAAGGCCTTGGCTCGACTTTATGGAGGAGTGGATTGGCACACGACCGGAGACTGGGATCCGGCTTACGAAGAATGACGTTGGACTACGGAAATGCTTCGTGAAGGTGGATAGCGAGATGTACGTTGATGATTTTGGCCAGGAAGTGGAAGATGTTGATTTTCGGTTGGATCGAGAGTCAGTGCCGGAATTTATACCGGACGATATTCTCGATGCGATTTTCGAGACGGGGAAGAACCTTCGGTTTATCAAAGCTAGCCATCCGAATCATCCACTCGCACGGCAGGAAAACGTATCTACCAATGACCCACCACGGAATAGCTGGCTTTACGATTGGGACTCGATCTTACGGCTCGAAAATAGGGTTGCGGATTATCAGGCAAGCTTAGCTTCTACATTATCGAGACTCAGAGCCGAGAACGACGATCAGCAAAGGCAAGACAACCTCACGTCGCTGAGCGGTCAAGAGGGCTTCGAGCTCCGAGTATTTGGGGCGGATGCATCTCAGATAGAACATCTCATTCTATCATCCATTCAAGAACTGGGCGAGCCCCTACGAGAGAATGTGAAGGAGGACAAGCTGAAAGTGATTGTCAAAAAACGACTCTCAGGCGGCCAACAAAATGAATACGAGGACCGCGGCCTAGACTTTAGTCCACACTGGTCACTTCTACCAGCATTATCCTTTGGGCCAATCGTGATGGCCCACGCCCGCATCGTCAACCGAGAGAGCCTACGGCTACTCTTCACGGCGCACGACCTACGCGGACATCTTCGAGTCCAGCGCCAGTTTCATCTCTTCGGCAATGGCATGTTTTGCAGTCGCCTCTCCCACGCGCTGTTCGATCCGGACCTGGAGACGGCGGAAAGGCAGCCCGGTGTCGCTCGCCAAGGAGGCGTCATGGGCTTGCGTCTAAGTGGCCGAGACAACTGGCCACCTGCGAGCTCGGAACTCCGGCTAGCTCTTATGGGGATCCTAGCCGAGAGCTACGCCTCGGAAAAGAACGCAGAGCCTCATGGGGGAGGGAGCTTAGAAGGCCCTCAGGACTTGCCGGGCGACCTAAGCTTCTCGGTGAGAGACATGTCGCCGGAAAATGTCGACAAGTGCATGGATCAGGACGCTCTCGAGGCCCTCGACTTTCTCCGCTTATCTTACAAGCCTCCACCGGCGCTAGCATCCATCTTCACCCCAGTGATCCTGGTGCAGTATGATCGGGTCTTCAAGGTGATGCTCAGAGTCCTCCGGTTAGTCTACGTGATCAACCAGCTCTTCCAGGACATCAACTCGCGAACGTGCAGGTGGTACAACCCGAGCAATGCCGCCGTCCGCTTCTGCTTCGAGGCACGTCACTTCGTGCACAGCATCGCCAGCTACTTTGTCGACGTGGGCATCTCGAAGACGTGGCGCGCCTTCGAATTCTGGCTCGACAAGGTCGAAAAGAATGTGGTGGGTGACGACGACGACCGCAACGATGAGAAAGGCACGCGGCACAGTCCCGAGCGGCTGCGGCTGTGCCACTCGTTGATCTTGGACCACATCATGCATGCGCTTTTACTCAGGAAGAGACAGCAGCCCGTTCTCGCGCTTCTCGAAGAGATTTTTACTTCGGTTTTGCAGTTTGCTAAAAGGGTTAGGACGACGCTCGATGATGCCGAGGAGGGACCCGAAGTGGGGGATTTGTACGGGGCGTTTAGGAAGAAGGTGGAGGTGTTTATCACGGTTTGTCGTGGGCTTGCGGAGAAGGGAGACTTGGGGTTGAGGAAGGAGGCAGAGGAGGTTATGGATGATGTTCAGGATGCGCTGGGGAGGGAGTTGAGGGAGAATAGTAATATTGGCTACTTGTTGATGAAGCTAGACATGTTTAACTATTACTGGAAGGGGACGAGATAAACCAAGTAAACAAACTGAGGGAAGCACCGTAAAATACAATACCACTTACACGATTATTTATTTCTCAGACATTTATTTACGTTTCTCTTACCTTGATTCTTCTGATGTTTATATATTCGCCCAAGTCTTATCAGCGCCAGTGTCGTTTTAGTGGCGCGTGGGCTATCAATTAATCTCTCGCCTCCCAGCTTGGTTGCCATGGCTATGATCTTGGATTCTCAATGCTACTTTCGATGTAAGTTCTGAATTGATGGATCATAACGGCAAGAAATGGAAACCAGTCTTGATGATTCTATCACAACGAAGAATTGGTATCGGTGCAGATGATGAGCGATGCAGCTCATTTCTTGACACCTCCGCTTGTCATGTCCGAAGTAATAACTAATACGAAGTAGAGCTTAAAAATTGCTTCTTTTCCCCAAAGAGCGGGAGCTGCAGAAGCGCACGAGCTCTTGAGCCTTAATTGGACCCTCCTGGCGATGAACAAATAATGGACAACTCTCCAAACGCAGCATCCGGAATCAATTCCATTGAGTAACAGCAATCGTAAATAATACTCAGCACTTTTACCTCAGTAAATCTCGAAATAATAATAATAATAATCGCCAACCCAGGTGCAAAGTACTTGTAGACTATGTACCTTTGTGGTAACCTAGGAGTCAAGGACCGTTGCTCCCTGCACGATGGAAACAAAGTTTCCTTTGTTAGTAAACACGTGACGGTACTACGCGCTGCGGTCCCTTGTTCCTGGATCCTTGCGCTGGATCCTTGCTCGGGGAGCCTGTCCGCCGCTGCTTGGAGCTGGAATTAATTAAAAAAAACGGTTGAACTCTCCTAATCGCGTCTCCTTGATTCACCCCTCCGTCCTCGAATCTTCGAGTCTCCCTAACTTTGAAGCTTTCGCGAGTTTCAACTTGTCGGTTAGACATACCAGGACTACGGCTTCCGTGAATCATATTGTTGTTTAACGATTAAGCTCGACTTGCGACGACTTATCTTGCATCCGCCGCCATCCATTCTTGGCGCTGCGCCCAATCAATACGCGCGCCTATTGACGACGTCTCTCTATTGTCATCCACCACCCGAAAACCCGCCTGCATGGAACCTTCCCTCTCACGATCTTCCAAATCTCAACCTCGCCTTGCGCTCGTTCACTCCTTCCTTCCGTCTTTGAGAGCATACCCTCGCAATCGGGCAAAGCCCTAATTCGGCTGCCACTCGTCGCCCATCATGGCTTTCAGATCTTCATCTTCCCGCCCTTCGATTTCTCGAAGGCAATCTTCTTCAGCAGCGAACTCGACGGCTTTTTCATCCAACGAGTCTCATGCTGCAGATCTCGCACTCTCACTGCAGAAGCTTACTCTTGCGACTTCTCCCTCTTCTGCCAAATCCCCAAGAGGCTCCAAGCCCGTTACCCCTTTCAAGGGCCCTTCTTCTACTTCTCTTGCGTCCCCATCACCAGCAGCAAATCACCCCAAACTGTCCCCACGCAGCCCCTCGCTAGGAAGAGCCTCGCGATCATCTACGCCTTCTCTTGTTCGAAAAGCTTCTACCTCTTCTCTGCGATCTCCAAGCGTTGGGCCTCGTCCCGGTCAATCTCTGTCTCGCAGGGCGAGTTCAGTCAACCTTTCAGCATCAATAGCCAAATCACCATTAGCCATGAGCGACGCACCACTTCCCGAGCCCAAGCCCGTGCTCACCGCCAACTCGATCGCCAAGGAGTTTTTCGTGGCAGATCTTCAATCGCACGAAGAGGACAAGAGCGGCCAGTCCACCGACGCCCTGGTCATTTTCCACGATTCGTGCTACGGCCATCGCTTCTCAAGGCCTAATTCGACGACCAACATCCTAAGCTCTATCGTCGAACGGCCCGAGCGGCTAAAGGCCTGCGCTCTTGGCGTCGCGGCCGCCTACGTCAAGCTCGGTGAGCGTCATGCCGATGGTCGGCATGCGCTTCACCCGAGGCTTGACCCGGCGTCGATCCCGAATCTGCCCTTCCGTATTCGGAAGGTTTCGAGGCGGCTCTCCCTCCTTTCCGCGGCCGTCGTCGCCGTCCACGGAAAGGAGTGGATGGAAGAGCTCAAGTCTATGTGCCAGTCGACGAGGGCCAAGCTCGCGGCCAACGAGCTCGAGGTCAAGAGGTGCAACAGCAACCTCCGGCCCGGGCAGGAACCCAAGCCGCAGTTCAACCAGGGCGACCTGTACCTCGGCCCCGAGTCCCTTGAAGCCATGGAGGGCGCTCTTGGCGCGGTGTGCGAGGCCGTGGACGCTGTTTTCACGTCCGGGCATCGTCGCTGCTTCGTCTCGATCCGCCCTCCTGGCCACCACTGCTCAGGCGACTATCCGTCTGGTTTTTGCTGGGTAAACAACGTCCACGTCGGTATCGCTCACGCCATGATGAACCACGGACTTACCCACGCCGCCATTGTCGATTTCGACCTTCACCACGGCGACGGCTCTCAAGCGATTGCATGGAGCCATAATCATCGTCACACCTACGGCAAAGGCCGCGGTGGCTTGTCCCAATGGAAGAAGTCGGCGATTGGTTACTTTAGTCTCCACGACATCAACTCCTTCCCTTGCGAAATGGGCAACGCCGAGAAGGTCACTAATGCTAGTTTGTGCATTGAAAACGCCCACGGCCAAAACATTTGGAATATCCATCTGCAGCCCTGGGATACCGAGCCCGAATTCTGGGCCCTGTACGAAAACCGCTATTCCGTACTCATCCGCAAGGCCGAATCCTTCTTGAAGGCCCAAACCGCCAAACTTCGCAACGCCAACAAGCCCGCCAAATCTGCCATTTTCATTTCCGCCGGCTTCGACGCCAGCGAGTGGGAGTCTGCGGGTATGCAGAGACACTCGGTCATGGTCCCCACCGACTTCTACGCCCGAATTACCCGAGATGTCGTGGAAATGGCATCCGATCCGGAAACGGCCACAGACGGACGTATTATCAGCGTCATGGAAGGTGGTTATAGCGATCGGGCAATTTGTTCTGGTGTTTTTAGCCATTTGAGCGGCATGGTGGCGACGCAGACTGGCAACGACGCAAAGTATCTCAACGCCGTGAAGGAGGAGATCGACGAAGATGTGGCCCCGGATTGCATGGCTCCGCACGGCCTTCTTTCTCAGAGCCGCAAGCGAACTTTCTCGTCCTCCTTCTCATTCGATCCGGCTTGGTGGTCGAGTACGGCCTTGGACAAACTCGAGCGTGCTGTAGCTGCCCCTACTCCGTTTGCCAAGAAACCTCGTCACGCCGTTCCTCCTACTTACAGCTCCCCCACCCATGCATCCACGGCCAAGGCAGTTGACCCCATCAATTTACGTCGAAGTCTTTCCGGTCTGAATGGTTCCTTCTCTCGGCCACCCACCCCTCCTCCCCCCGAGGTTCCTTGGACCATCGCCACGCAGGAACTTTATAGGCTTCTAGTTCCCGAGGATCGTCCAACGGAAAGCTGCACCATTGAAGAGATTGGTTCGATAGTTGCGCAGGCCAAGCAAGATTACCCTGTTTCCCCTCCGCCGGAGGTGGCGAGAGAGATACAGCTCCCCACGCCCCCGAACGGACCTACCAGGGCTGGGTTGAGGGATAGGCGAGCGAAGCCAATTGAGGCCATTCATGAGGAGGAGAGTGTAGATAAGCCAACCAAGGGTCGAAGGAAGACGACTGCTCATGGCTACGGATTGGTAATTTTTTTTTTTCTTTTTCCTTTTCAACACCCCTATATTTATATGACGGAAACTAACCGTTCGTGTAGCCCTCTTCCCGAGCTGGCACCGCTGAACCTCCTCAACCGGTCCGTCGCTCTGGCAGGCGCGCTAGCACCGCGTCTGTGCTCACAACCACCGCCGAAGACGAACTAGCGGTAGCCAGTGTAGCCAATATCAAGAGCCGCGGACTCGGCGAGAGCAGCAGCAATGCCAATGGCGGCATTCCCATCGCCCGCACTGGATCAGCCCCCTTCCTCCAAGTCAAGAAACCCCGAGCGGCGCCGGCGCCCCGGAAGGAGACGACGGCCAGGGCTCCCAGGGTCGGTGGAAGGAAGTCACCTACGAGAGGGGCGCGGAAGAGCCCGACAACGGCAACGAAGGCCGCAGCTGGAATTGTCACTCCCCAGGGATCAACACCAGAGAAGCCAGAGATTAAAATCTCTAGCTCCGACAATATACAGTCGAGTGACGAACCGGGTCTCGACCTGATAACTACGGGAATGAACAAGGTTAGAATCACGCTCGTCTCGAAGTCTCAGCAAGACAACCAGGAAAAGGCGAAGACGGCTAGTAGCACCGCGGCGGGGCCTGTCAAGCCAACTCCCCGTATCCGCTTCATCAAGAACGGCCAGCGATCCGGCAGCTCGTCACCCGAGACCACCCAGTCTCTTGGTGGAGTTTCTACCCCCGACACCTCGCCACCTAATCAGAAAATCCCCTCCATGCCGGTAACGAGCCCCATTGAGGAGAGGCCCATGTCCGCGTCTTGGGAGTCGCCCGATCCACTTGGCGTCCCGCTGCCCTCTAGCCCTATGAATGGCCTACCGGGCACGCCCGACAAGTTCGTGCGATACCAACCAGAGGGACCCACACCCGTCGCCGTGGCCATGAGCGAGCCTGTTAAGTTCCTCCCTCCGAACATGGCGACGCCGACTCCGATGAAGAGAGCGGATCTGCCCAGCTTTACCGCGACATCTGCCATTCCTTTCGCGCGTCCTTTGAACGAACCTTCGGGTGATGACCAGTAGCTCCTGGAATTCCAGGCAAAGCCGAAACCTCCGCTGTTGCCCATCAACGATATTCCGGAGACGCCCTCTGAAGTGAGAAGATGAGCGAGCGTGCTTCCTGCGAACGAATGGCAGAGTGGATACCTGGCTTACCTGGCTTTGGAATCTGCCTAGAAAACAGGACGCTTACAGTCGCGTCACTTGTTTTTCATCTCTTCTTCTTCTTCTTTTCTTTCGCTTCTCGCGTTACGTTACGCTCTTTTAATGCTGTTTTTTCTTCTTCGCAAACGAGGTTTTTACTTTACTCTTTCTCCGGGGGGGAGGTTGGAATGGTGTTGATGAATTGGTTTCCAGCATAGGGAACGAGGATCTGGCGCATAGGAGATTTGTCCCGTTTGTCCGCCTCTTTTACATGGACTTGTTTATATGAACTGGCAACCTGGGAATATTCGAATTTTCTCTCTTCCGTTTCTTACATACATTCAGGGGAATCGTTCAGCATGCGCGCCTTGAGGCAGTTGAGCTTTTTTTTTTTTTTTTTTTTTTTTTTTTTTTTTTTGTTTCCTGATTTTTATTCTTCTTTTCGGAATCGGAGTTTAGCTTCGCGACCTCGTGGTTTCGGTCTGCGAAGAAAAAGAAAATGGTTGGAAGATCAAAGATACCCCCCAAAGCACGCGAGGACAGATTTGCGATTGCGACTCTTTTATTTTGATTTCTTGCTAGCAATACTTAGTTTATTCTGTTCACTGTTCAACCTTGATGTGCTCAGTGTCCTCTATGTGTGTCCGTGGATCGAAATGTAGTCCGAGATACGGTTCAACTTCAGCAGGTTCAAAGAGTGGTATAAACGTCAGCCCGGGCATGTTTAATGGTGACCGAGGAACTATTCTAATCCTATGCCACGTAAAGGCTCATTCACTCGTTGCGCAAGGGCTCTTCGAACGTTTCACAGTTCAAGCAAGGCCCTCTTATCGGAGCCAACGAAAGGCATAGTCGGAGTAACGTGCGACTGAGACTCGACCACGAGTTCGTATAACGGATTTTGATTCTCTTGAGGGGATCGAGTATGTAGTATATGATACCACTTGCCCCTTCTTCTATAATCTACCCTATTCGATCTTGTCCTAAAAGGAGAGTTATACACAGGTACAGCAGCAGCTCGTTTTCCCGTTCATTTTTATTACACTTTAAGACTCCCCCTAAACTCTGCAATCGACACACTCTTCTCCGTCAAGGTGGCCTTCGCACCCCCGTCAACACCGGGATGGGGCGTCCGCTCGAAAGTCCAGAGTTCCGAGACGCCGAGGCTCTCAAGGTAGTCGAGGCCGCGGATGTAGTTTGTGGCTACTTGGGCGATGCCGTGGCTGTCGTCGGAGAAGGTGAACTTGCCGCCCAAGGATAGATATTCCTAAAAAAAGACAAGTTAGAAAGTTGTTTCAGCGTCAAAGGAAGCCATATCCAGCACCGAATAGAGCTCTTTTGCTTGCACACTTACCTCCGCAATCGCCCTACACGGGTAAGGCTCACTAAGACCCTTCCGCAAAGCACTGGTATTACACTCCAACCACGCGCCACTCTCCACAACAACCCTCAAATTCCTCACAATCCTCTCCCAAACTCCCTTCCACGTCCTCACATCCCTACTAGCAGCCCGCTTCTCCGGCGCCTGCTGCTCATGATCACTCAACAGCCTCACGAGATCAAAATGCCCCACAACTCGCGGCTTCAACGTCCTCAACATCTCATACTGCTCATCGTAATACGCTTCGAAAAACACCTCGTCGTCTTCTTTGCCTTCATCCCTGGGCTGCTGCTCGGAAAGCACGGAGGTGCGCGCGCGGAGGTAGGTCGCGCGGTCGAAGTCGATGGGGATGCCGCGCACGTGGTGGAGCGAGCCGATGAAGTAGTCGATTTGCGGGTAGAGGGAGGGGTTGGCGAGGCGGAGGACGTGGGGCGCGTCGGAGGGGCGAATGAATTCGCCTTCGAAGGCGATGAGGACGTGGAGGGTGGGAGCGTATTTGAGCTGCAGGCGGGAGGCTTCGACGAGGTAGGCTTCGTGGCGGGGGGCCAGGGCGGCGAGGGAGGCTTGGGGGGAGGGTTCAAGCTGGGTGTTAAGAGGTGAAATGTTAGAGTGAAGAGAATAGGAAAGGGTTGAGTGAGAGTAAGAAAGAGAGTGTGTGGGAGTGAGTGTGTATATATATGTATATGGATATATTATTTTACCTCTTCGGGGTAGAGGTCCTCGATGCTGTAGCGCGGCATGTGTTCTGTGAGACCTATCGTCTTGAAGCCGAGGGCAATGGCTTGCTGGATGACTTCCTCGAGAGCATCTTTGGCATGGCCGGGGCAGAATTGGCCCGAGTGGGAGTGCATTGTGAAGGCCATCTTGTGTGACGGCGGCCGAGAGAGGCGCTGAAGAAGCTGGATTTGCTGGATTTGCTGTCAACCGCGGTTAGTATTTTGTGTGTGGATGTAAGCTTGCCTAACTTGGAGATTTCAGATCTGATGCCCACCTTAGCCTAGTTTAAGGGTATCGGGGGATGGGATGAGTTGAATGGGGTGAGGATAAGAACGAGGATGAGTTCGCGCGATGAAGAGACGTGAGCTGGTGAGTCAAAGAGAGCTCGAGAGCTTGAGGGATACAAGCGTAGGGACTTAATGGAGAGAGAGCGGGGTGATGAGGGGCACTTTGGCTTATCAAGTCCAAATTCTCAGCGCACAACTGATGCAAACTCGAGGGAATCTGGACGACGGCCTTTACTTCTTTTACACATGCCCGAAATGCAAATGCACCCATTGATCCCCGACGCGTCCGAGGAGAATAGAATCATAGAATATCATGGTAGCTTTGCTTTCCCTCTTCAGTTCAACCCCATGTTGCACGTTGCCGCATTGCGCCTCTCCCAATGGTTGATCAAGTATTAGTTAATTCGTATGTATCGATCGAACGCATTGATGTACCCCAACTTTGTAACTTCGTATTCGTTCATCTCATGTACAAAGAAAGTACGTACTCTGACTCGGCTTCCGCTTCCCCCGCCTCCTCCGCCTCCTCCGCGTCTGCCCCGGAGAAGAGAAGATCAATTGATACAGTCTGGCATGTGATCGATGTCCAAATAAGAAGGCTCATCCTCGAACCTCATCATCGCGTTTTTGCTTCGTCTGGGTTGGAGACGAAGCAAAAACACGATGGCTCGCAGCCGATATCGCGTGCTGCATTGCATTCCGAGACCGAGAGCGGGGGGACCAATTGATCCAATCCAGCTTAACCAATCTGCCTATTAACCAGGTATAATTGTAGTAATTGTAATCGTGATCGATTCGAACACCCTCGACCAGAGAGACCTGTAGACATCCTCTAGCCTCCCTTCGTACCAACACCACATCTCATATCGTAACATTCTCTTCGCAGCTCTTCGTCCTCATCCTCCTCACACACTCCGTCATGCCCTCCTTCCACCTCCCCTCCTCCTCCACCCACTCCGCCTGGTCCCGCTCCCTGCCCCCCGCCCTCACCATCCCCTCCGGCTCCACCATAACCCTCGACCTCCCCGACGCCAGCTCCAACCACATCACCCCCTCCAACGCCGCCACCGCCCTCGCAACCTTCGACCTCTCCTCCGCCAACCCCGTCGTCGGCCCCATCCACGTCACGGGCGCCGAACCGGGCGACGTCCTCCGCGTCGACGTCCTCGACCTGCAGACCGCCGACTACGGCTGGACCGCCATCTTCCCCGGCTTCGGGCTCCTCGCCGATGAGTTCCCCGATGCGCATCTTAAGATTTGGGATTTGTCACGCGCTGCGATCACGGGGCGGGCGGACTTTCAGCCGGGGCTATCGATTCCCGTGAGGCCGTTTTTGGGCATCATGGGCGTAGCGCCTGCTGAGGAAGGAGAGCATAGCACGATTCCGCCGTACGTTACGGGCGGGAACATCGACTGCCGCCACTTGACGGTCGGTTCCTCTCTCTACCTGCCCGTCAAAGTCGCCGGCGCACTCTTCTCGTGCGGCGACGGCCACGCGGCCCAAGGCGACGGCGAAGTCTGCGGCTCCGCCGTCGAGACACCCATGAAAGCCACCATCTCCCTGACCGTCGAGAAGAACATGCCCTGGGTGAAATCCCCCCACTACGTCAGCCCCCCGAGCCGCGCCGAGGAGCTCGCCATGGGAGAGTACGCTGCTATGGGTATTCACGCTGACTTGCTCGAGGCGACGAAGGAGGCTACGCGCGGGTTGGTCGCTTGGATAGAGGCTGAGAAGGGGCTTTCGAGGACGGATGCGTATTTGTTGGCTTCTGTGGCTGCGAATTTGAAGATTGTTGAGGCGGTGGATATGCCGAATTATGCTGTTTCATGCTCTATTCCCTTGAGCATATTTCGATTTTAGATGACCTATGTACATATATTTCGGGCGCCCTATATTCCTGTTTCTTTCTATATGTTCCCTTTTGTATAGCAGTTTGGTCTGCCCCGTTTCCCAGTTTTGTCACCAAGTAAAAGTAGAAGAGAAACGGCGGACCTCGTCTGGGGGCTTAACTCCTCCTTATTGCTAACAGTTTCTTGCCCGTTTCGGCAGCTCAACAGAGAACGCCATCACATCCTGGTTCGCCGTCTTTTTTTCTTTTTTAGGAAATTTCCGCCCTGCTTAAATGTAATCCGCGCCCTAATACGTAAGAACACCCCCCCCCCTTTCTAGAAATCCGCCCTGCTTCACAGAAGATGACCACGAGTTGCCGTCCGACTGCTTCCTATATATCTATCAATATATACACATATATATATTCTTGATATTTTCCCTTTCCTTTTTCATGAGTTACCCTAAGTCTAGAATATCTCTGCTTTAAAGTGCGATTTCTTTTCTCTCGCAAGCATGTAAACTGAGTCACCTACACAATTGAACTTTGCTGGCGAAGCTGAGAATCGGCTCTGTGAATCCTCGGAATCTGATCCAATACTTCCCGTCAATATCATCGCAATGAAGATAACAGGTGTAAGAAAAGCCTTTCAAGCCCACTCACCAAAACTCCAACTAACGTCCTCACCAGCTCTACTTCTACCCCATAAAAGGTCTCAGGGGCATCCCCCTAACATCCGCCCATCTCACCCCCCAAGGCATCAAATACGACCGCCGCTTCATGCTCTGGAGTCTCAACGAAGACGGGTCCCTCCGCACTAAGATTCAAGTCTTCTCTAACCCAGAATGCGCTCTCTTCGAGCAGCAGGTCGTAGGGCTATCGGATGAGAGCGATGATGACTCGGATGACGACATCCCTCTCACCAATGGCAAAGCGGTCGAGGGCGACAACAAGCCAGCCCCGACCATCATCGTCCGCTACATCACCCCAAAGAAACCCCTCCTCCCAAAACACCCCGCCCACGATACCCCGCTCACAGTCCCCCTCCGCCCGGACACTACGACCTTGGACCCCGCCACCATTGACATGTATCGGAGCTCCACGAAAGCCTACCGCATGGGCGACGCTTACGATGCCTGGTTCTCCGCCTGCCTCGGCTTCCCCGCCGCTCTCATCTACATCGGCGACGGCAGGCGGCCGCAGCTGGGATTTTTACCCCTAGCGCCGGCGCGGAAGCCGAAAAGGAGTGGCGCAGGGTTGCTTTTGAGCTTCGTTGACCTTGTTCTCGGATACATTTCCGCGTGTCTCTTTTATCTCCTGACCTTTCCACTCTTGTTTGGTTACGACGAAGGGGGAGGGAAAAGAAGAAAAGACCGAGTTCACGAGAATGCACAACCACCGTGGATTACCTTTGCGGACATGGCACCCTTCCTAGTCGTCTCCGAATCATCCCTCGCCGATCTCTCCTCACGCGTCGGCGACTCTAAACCCCTCGAAATGCACCGATTCCGACCCAATATCATCATCGGGTCGTCGTCGCCATCTACGGATAATCATGCCATCTCCGACGACGACCTTCGGCCCTGGGACGAAGACTTCTGGGCCGAACTCTCCGTCTCCGGCTCGCCCACCCTACAACTCACCGGGAACTGCGCACGCTGCGTCTCCGTCAACGTCGACTACGAAACGGGTCGTCCGACCGAGGGCAGGCGGGGCGCCGTGCTAAGGACTATGGCCGCTACGCGCCGCGTCGACAAGGGGAAGAAGTGGGAGTCCATCTTTGGCCGGTATGCCTCTCTTGTCACCGTGCCTCGACGAGGCCTTCTTGGCTGGTGGGAAGGAGGAGGGAGAGAAGACCCTGGGAAGCTGAGGAAGATTGCTGTTGGGGACGAGGTGCGTGTGACGAGGAGGAACCAGGAGAGAGATGTTTGGGATTGGCCCTCGCTAAAGGGCTAAAGGGACCGTAAAGGAAAATGAGGCGAGGCCTCGGGTCAGTTCGAGAATGCATTGAGGAAAAGGAAAAGAAAATGTGGCAAGGGGACGAGTTGGCTCTCGTCGAAGAGAGAGAGGGAGAGAGAGGAAGAGAGTGTGGGGGATACAACGCCCCTCGTTTTTCTACCCCCTCTCACAATGTGAACGTGGCCAATGACGGCAACGCAGAAGCCGAATTCGGCAATCGTAATTGACGAGACTCCCTCAAAGGGGATTGATTGATTGCTGATCAGTGTAACCCGGGAACGTGTTTATGAAAGAAATGCCGTGTCCCCCTCGAGTTCCAGTCCGCCCTACCGCCCAGCTGGCATTGGGTGGTGGTAGAAGAAAACACACCTCCGGCACTTTCTCTCTCTCGGGTCCTGACGGCCGTCCGTCCCTTTTGTACCACCCAACCTACGTTTCAAGAGACGGTAGTGAGCCTCCTCTACCTTTCCACCTTTTCTTCCTTTCCCTCGTAGATAATTCCTCCATCTTCCCGTCGTCACCGAAGCATCGAGGGAAGGGAGAGAAAAGAAGAGGAGGAAAGAGAAAGGGGGGTAGGCGGTAGGCGGTAGCGGGTAGGGGAGAGAATCCACTACCTCTCTGTCCAGTAGGCGTCAGGAAGGTTGCATGCAACACGGCAAATCATCAAATCTCCAGCATGTAGTATTGGACGCATGCCTCAGGGCCCTGCCATGCAGTGCACCGATACATCCGCTGGGCTGTAACAGCCCAGTCCCAATACCATTCGTCGACGACGATCTCTCCCGTCGACAACACAGCAGTACCCCTTTCGCCTTACCCGGCCCCGGATAGGCCGAGCTGCATCTTCGATCGTCATCCCGTTTGCGCAAACATCCCAAATCTTGCCGTGTTGCCCACGTTACTCACTTTCGCCCTGAGCCCGCCTGGTTGGTCGTCACTCCCCCTCCCCCAGTCCTGCACCTTTCCGGGCTTCCAAATCATTGATGTTTGCTGGAGCAATCTTAAGATCCGTTCGCTTTTCCCGAATAGAATGGAAATGGAATGTTCTATGAGAGCCGAGAGCGGCATGTTTTCCTTTCTATGCCGTTCTTCCCCGCCATTCCACGCCCTTATCCTGCTTCTTACTTCCCCTTCGGTCAATGCTTTTCTTTCTTCCTTCCAGGTCCTCAGAAGCAAACTTTTCCATGCAAGGCTCTTTGCAGAATTACCACCCGCCTAGCGCAGAAGAGAGGAAGAAGGAAATGAATGGGTTAAAAAAACCAGGTAGTAACGCGAGATCTCGCTAACGTGGCAGACCCAGGGTAACGATATAACCCCTGTCATCTTCCATCAAAATGCCTGGCGAATGTTCCTACCATGTCACCGAAGGGTAGCACCCGAGGTCGTTCATCTTCGCTGGCTGTCAGATGTCACTCACCGGGGTCAGAAAAATAAGATGGTGCGCAGTATTTGTGGAGAGCTACGCCCTGGTCTCGGGCCCTTGATGAGTCGTAGAAGAAGCAATTTCCTGTCTGCCCCCCAACACGTACGCACATCAACTGAGTCGCCGCGGTGTCCTCAACATCATGTAGCCCGTGCATGACGCAGCACACGACAACGCTCATTGTCATGGGGGAGAAGCAGGGTTTCAAAATGAAAACATGAGAGTTTGTTGGCTTTGCACGCCACATACATGCGTCGCAGCACCGGATCCCCACAGCGTTGGGACAGGCCAGCATCCGGGAGTCACCTGTCAGAAAGGGCAAACTCCGAAGGGCTGCTGGAGACTCTGATAATCAGACACCATGTTGGGTCAAACTGGTTCCATAATACGCAACAGTCGTCCAGTCTCTCGGTTGCACAGTCGCATCCTAACCCCGCCCGCCCACTTACACGCACACCTTCCAACTCCCAGCCTCATGTCGCACAGCATGCCCTGTTATCGAGGCTTCGGCATACCTGCCGAGGCAATCAGGGACCTAAGACACTCTCATCTCCCACGTTGCATTTCCCTTCCTCCTGAATACACACCCGGTGTACGCTCGAGGCTGGGGCGTGTTGAACACTCGAACCTGTTGGTCCAATCATTGCCGGCTTCCTTGTCTCGACTTCTTCCAAACATCCGATTCAACATACCCCCCCTAACAGCAGCGGCCCGACCGTGCGGCGTTCTAGAGGCCGTGGAAGCATAGCTTAAACCCGTTCTTTTTGTCTTCTTTTGTTCAGTTCACTTGGGTAGTTGGTGTGACCAAGGCTGATTCTAGGTGTTCAAGGTGAGGGCGAGACCGGAATCCTAAAGGCCGCATGGCTGCATCTGATGTTTGCTTCTCTTAACAGCAATCGCCGAAGAAGGAGTAAAAGCAAATCCTAGAGCTTGAAATCATCTGCAGATTAGACTCTGGACCAGCAAGAGATCGAAAAGCAATGCCTCGATCAAACACGGTGCCCCTGCTGCGAGAGAGCAAGAGAAAAGGAAAAGTAGAAGGCATACAGAAGTGTATATACCCTCTGCTCTCGACCTCAATACAACACTCAATACAACACAGAAAGCGCTTGAAGGTTAAATTCTAGTTCATATTGATAGTGGCGGTAACCTGCTCATGCAGGGAAGCCTCGAAAATAAACGCCATCCACTCTAAAAAGGGATATAAAAAATGAAAATCCAGTATTGCTATGCAAGTTTGTCTAACCATAAGATTCGTAGTTTCCGTTAGCTCTGGCCTCACTGAAGACAAAGAGGGAAATGAATACGAAACAAGAAACATGAAAGAAAACTGCAATCTAATTCCAGATCCAGCCTATACGGCAATCCCTTTATACAATTCGCCTTTTTCCCGTCCCATACCAATTGTTGGTTTTTCTCTATCAGTCCATCGCTTGCTTCCAGTACGAAAAAAAAAAAAAAGAAAAACGAAATGAAAAAAAAAGGCAAAGATATACAAGGCAGAGGAGTGAAGATTCCGAACACATGCGACGGGGGAAACTACGGGCTCTGCCCGAGTATGAAAATCAAAAGTGGTAGGTAGACTGGGAAAAATACCCGCTCAAGGCTCGCCGGGCCGCCAAAGTCGGGACAGAAGCCCGGGCGAGATCTCAAGACGGATGGACCAGAATTGACCCCGAAAGTTCCTGACTAGACGAGGGTCCTCTGAGACCGCTGAATACCATTCAAAGGGTCATTAGGAGAAGTGAAGTGGCCTCATCGTGCATGATTGAAAATCGTTCAGCCATGGACACCGGTCAGACTGCCAAAAGGAAAAAAAGCAATCGTCGAAGGAACGGTGTGGGATGGGGAAGGACAGCGCCGTCGATCTTATGCAATCATGATGCCGGGAGGCTCGCGTGTGTTCGGATGACTTGGAAAAGGAACCATAAAAAATTTGGAATCGTAAGCGGCCATAAAGTCGTTCGTCGCGGAGATGAGAGTGAAGGAAAAAGAAAAGATGAACAGCCAATAATCGAGTTGTAAAGCCTGTTCTCGCTTCGGCCAAGTCAGTTATGGATCTTCTGGTTACAGAGGGTGATGAAACCCATTCCGCTCCGTGCCAATTTCCAGGTATACAGTTGAGAGCGGTTTTTTTTTTCCAGTTCTTTTTGGGGGGCCTGGAGATCCATGAAAATGGCAGTTGGGGGCGGAAGAGGACAATTCGGCTTGATGAAGAAGCGAGCCGATTTTTTTTCCTTTTCTTTTTTTGGTATGGGTCCTTTTCCAAGGCAAGTCCAAAAAAAGGGAAGAAAAAGGCCTCGCTCTCGCTTGGCCGCTTCTCTATTCCGCTTGGTGGGGTTTCAGGGTTGTGAAGAGGGCGTGTTTCTTGCATACGTACCGGGTGTTGTACCTGCATCTTGCTGCATTGGGGCCGTTCCACACGGTGATGTGGACCAAGGAGGGGGTCCATCTGTCGATGCTTGGAAATTCGTATGTGGCCCGAGGCTGCAACCATTTTAGGCACTTTGAGTGCAAGGCCTACATGTGTGCAACTTGCAGTACCGGCACTCAAAGATAGCCCAGTGTGGACCGGAGTGGCATATGTTGCACGTCCATTGGATCAAAGTGCTATCCGACTTGACGAGCTGGAAGGAATGCGCGCAATTGCTAGGAACGGCCATGGCTGCATTCGTGCCAGACTGGGTGCATTTCTTAGATGACGTGGTGCGGCACATCTTGGGAGCCGAGGGATCGGGAACCTTGACTTTGTTGCGAATAGGAAGAAGGCTTCTTAGGCTCCTTGCAAGTTTTCAAGGTCGCCAAGATCTAAAAATGGCCGCAGTCCCCAGACGAGGTCGGCGGCAAGGTTCTAGAATAAGTCGTCTCCAGTTAGCCATGTCACCGAGATGCCACTTAGAAGGAGGTGTGCAAGGTCCGGAAGTCATCATCCTCGCATATGCATGTGTAAAGCAGCAACCGCCATGGTGCGCAGGAGGGCGAGGTATTTGATGGCATCTCATGACAGACTTACGGTTTAAATAAGATGAGGAAAAAAACGAATGTCCTATTTCGTACGCCGAGGAAACCTAGCAGGTGACGTGGCGTTGGACGGAGAAAATCGCAAGATGAGAGTCGGTAAATGGAATGGTGAAGACCGGGATCAAGGGTCGTATTGAAATGACGATTTCAAACGTGGGTTGGATTTCCAAAGAGGGATAAAGGTCGTGAGCTTTAATAGGATTTCTGCTCGGTCTCGGAACGAGGGAAGGAAGCACCAAGGATGCTGTGTGGTTTCTTCCTCTGACGTTATCTTGCTGTTTGTTAGGAAGGCGCGTTCCTGCTTTGTTGGCGGTTCTCAGAGAGTACGGCTGCGACTGCCGAGTTGAACAAGATCTTGTGGATCCTATAACAACCGAAGGCGGAAGGTGCGACTTTCTTGGTAATGGAAGTGGATGATTGGAAGGGTGGTGGTCGAAGTGGCACGTTGTCCTTTGCCAGGTCGTAATGGTTGGATATTGGAGAAGTGTAGACTAGAGTCGTGAGGGCGAGTGTTGAGCGTTGAGCGTTGAGGTGTGAGATGTGAGATCTGGGG